CTTCTGTTCAATAGTAAATAGAGAATCAAGCTAAACCAAAAACAGGTTAAGAATCTTTTGCTGCTTACGAAAATGCTAATCGACTAAACATTTATTCGAACCGTCACTCGCTAATTCGATACTTTGTGTAATCCCATATTTCCGAACCTTAAATTTCTTTTAAAGTACTGTACATTATATTAAGCTTACTTCTTCCTAAACACGACAGTATCTCCTTTGTAAGTTGGCGCTTTCCTGGATCAAGTTTTCTTTAACACGTAAATCTTATCTGCCTGTCTACTATAATAAGACTACACACTTGTAAACGAGACTAGAAGTAAAACTTCATAAACAGTTTCATTCGTTCTACTTAATTCATAAGTAAATATGTGCATTCGAAAACACTGAAACAATGTAATATTTTGAGAAATAAAATCATATTGTAATAATTTCAATTATATTTCATTTATTTGTGTCAATGTCACATATAAGTCATTTTATTTCAAAAATGTATAATTAGAAAAACAATTGAATTGACACAATGCTTAAGAAATTAATATGAAGTAACAATGAATCTCCTTTGTTAGAATTTTTTTATTGTGAAAAATCCATTATCAGTTTTCATATCTACGGGCACAAATTGTAATTACGTGTGTCTTGCTTTAATTATTAAAGTTTAAGATACTCGATGCCTTCATAATTGAAAGATAAGTATAAATCCAATTTTTGATAATTGCAAGAGTTATTATTAATGTGAAATCTTTTCGTTTTCAGGTTTCAAGTAGTTCAGAAGTATGTGTCCAAATTTGCATATTGCTGATTGATCGCTACAAAGAAAACTTATTGAATTCAAAAAATTAGTATCACATCTTCTGAATTCAAAATGTGCAGGATTATCAGCTTGTTTCTTCTTGGTTTGCAGCGTTGAATGAATTCATATTTTACAGTTTCATTGTTAATTAACATACTTTAAGTCCATCAGAGTGTGTTTTATACGCGATGTAATGTGTACTGTACTGCAAATATAATACATATTATTTACATTAATTTCCAAAAGAAATTCGCCAACTGAGATTGTGTGAAGAGGTTTGTAGACAAACCAGCCGAAGCAAGTGTTTTGCTCGTATGATGCATCGTTCCAAAGTGTAATAATAATTTTAGACAAACTTTGGAATATATTATAAACATTTTTTTTGTGGAAATGGAGCGAATCCAGTTTTTCCCGTAATGGCGATGCTGCCTAGTCATTACGGGGTTTCTGGACAAACAAAAAACCCACGGAGGAGGGTGAGACCTTGACGTTGGTTCCGTGGCTTCAAATAGAATTACTTTTCTGTCACTAACTTCACCCGGCAGCACAAATCAGAAATATTTCTGAAATACATATTCTTTTTTCACATTTATTTTGAGTGCCCACCAGTGGCCGAGTAGATAAAACCACCGAACAGTGGGTAGTAGTATGTGATTTGGCTCCTGGCTAATGGGATTGCAATATGGGGTTTCTCGGGTTTTCTTCGCGTTAGTCACATCTAAATATGGGCCAGTTTACCATAAAATCTCTCTAAAAAGGCATTTTCCCTTCTGCATTAATTCATTATGCTTTTCCCAATTATATTGTCATAGATATACAATGAAAAATACAATATATAAAAATGGAAATGCATGATTTATTAAAGAGATACATTGTACAAATAGAAATTATACAGAAAACTTGAATACATATGAATACATAATTCTGAATTGAGATATTTAAAAATTTAATGAAAATTAATTTTAAAATATTAACAAAAGTATAGAGATATATTAAAAATTGTATTTTAAATTTAATTTATTCACATCCAAAAAGTAGTTGATGACGATAGTTGATATGCTAGTATTCTGCAAGTAGTTTTAAAATCTTAAATAGAATTCTATGATTTTGAAATTGAGAGAAATGACATATTCTGGTTTGTGTTAAGAAATGGTTGACAATATTTTTCTAATTTTGTTAATCTATTGTTTTAAATAAGACAATTAGACTGTGAGGAAGAAGTTTCAATTGTCTGGTTTATTCGTATACAGCAACGCTACACATGAACGATCTGTCGAAGGAACATGCCTCCCGTAAGGACTTTTATGGGAAAATGGCCACTACACTGTATTTAGGTGTTACTGGAAAGTGAATAAAAACCAATCAGTGTATGTAGTTTTTGTCGTTATCTGGACCCTCCTCTGACCCGTCGGACCGCCTTACAGCGCTCCGACACTCCAGTTGTTGAATGGTTTTCTATATATTCTTTGCTAGGAATTATTTATTAACAAAAGATTAATAAAATGGTATGCAGATAATCTGCCACTTGTTCAATTGCGAGATTTTGGGTATAAAAATAATTCCATAATAAGATAACAAGGAATTTCGTAATAGACAAATCGAAGAGTTATTAATTTTACGACGAGTAATTATAACATTCTCACTCATCACATAATCTTCTCCATATATAAAGTCTATCATTGGTAAATGATCAAGAATTAAATCTTGGCGTATAGGAAAGTCAGACTCACTGACATGTGTTCAGCCATAGCCTATCAAAGACTGATATTTTTATGAAATCTTGTAGGCTAATTAAGTGATATACACCTGCTATATTAATTATGTCTAAATATTTATTATTGAAGCCTCTAGCATTACAATACAGCACAAAAACACATCTTTTAGAGAAGTCAACTATTTATTTGTGTATCCATTCAGAAAAAGGTTATCTATTCTTATTATTATTATTATTATTCAAGATTTTCCTGCTGAATTTTTAAATTCTCTAACTCGAATTTTTTTTGGAGTTATTTAATAAAATTATTTATTGCTTTTTAGAAATAATTTAACCGTTTTATATTAGAAAATTTGCAATATTTTATTTTGCAATTAACGTTTATCTTTGGTTTCCACGAGATTTTTAAAAAACCTAACCCTGGCGAATACCAAGAGTTAAGTGTATCTTGTGTAATTTAAGTAAAGTCTTTTGAATTGATAGTTTAAATCCATCAACAAATTATCATCGTCAGTAAAATATTAGCGAACTTTTTGTAGCCTCATTTAACAGATATGCAATGATTTATTTGAACGTTAGGTAAGAAAAAATGCTATTCATAAGAAAGATGTTTTTCTTTATGAAAAAGTTTTATTGAAAATTATACGTTTGCAACATTTTCATATGCACAATTTGTTATTAAATGTTTTGCTTTTGTACATTTCTGAATTGAGCGTAGTCATGATCCCATGTGCCAGAGCCGCACGAGTAGAATTTATAAATTCCATGAATTTTAGACAGTACGACACAGTTAACTTTAGTTGGTTCTCAACTTATCTGTGGCTTTCCATTCGTAGTAATCTGTCAAATACAGCACATAATATTTTTATTTACAACTGAATGAGCTGTTAATATTCATGAAAACAATTATTTTAAGATATATTGATTAAATACAGCATTTTTAAAATTTCAGGACAAAATTTACTTACCCTTTATAGTTTTGAATTCCAGCTTCTCAATTTCACAGGCAAATCCATGTATAGATACAGTACAGTGGCGTGTCGTGACATTTAATGATAGGGAAGCTGTGTTTCTGTAGAAAGCCGACTTCCAGGGGCAATCAGTCAGCGATGGTCTAGGGCAGTGTTCCGCAACCTTTTTCTACTTGCGGCACACCCATGACCACAACACGGCACACGAAAATGTTATTCCCTGAAAAATGTATATGATACTATGAATAGAATTACGTAATGCCACTAACCTATTATTACTATTATTAAACAGACATCAACACCTGTGAGCGAATTTATTTTACATATAATTTCTTAGAATACATAAAAATGCGTGGCTTGTAATAAAGAATAAACAAACATTATCTTATTTCATCAGTGATGCGGCAGAGAATGAAATACAAGCGTAAGAAACACAACAACTGTGATGAAAAAATATAAATAAAACTTGAAATTAACAGAATATGTAAAAGTTCACGTCACACCTTTTACCATGTGACGGCACACCGGTTGCGGAACACTGGTCTAGGGCAGTGTTAATTAACATGGGAGCCGTGGCCCCCTGGGGTCCATAAGAAGTTTGCCGGGGGGCCGCGAAATTATGCAAAATTTCAGAATATAATAAAAAGAAAATTGATGTATAACCGAATATCGTATAGAAAAGTGAAATAAGAAAGATAAAGTTTTCGTATTTAATTTTTTTTTATTTATTTCTTATTTCTTCCTACATACAACTTTGTTAGTACAGAAGAAATAAATGCAAATATGCTACTACACCGCAGTATTTACTTCTTTTATTCCAAAGTAATTCTAAAAAACTATTAATGCTTGAAATTTAAAAAATAAAGCAGTAATAAAAAAATCAATTTATTATAGATAATTTAACAAATATAAATTATTATTTAAAAAAATGGGAGTCACAAAAATAATATGAAATATTTGGTTGGCGGCGAGTATAAAAACGTTAGCTTACTAAATTAGAATAACTGAATTATAGGCTTTATTAAACTTCTAATTTGATATGATTTCATTATTATTATTGGATACTTAGTTAGACCATATTAATTCATTTCAACTATACAGAAAAATTTGAAGATATATAAAAGGAACTGATAAAAGTTTCATGAAAAAGAACAGATTTTGTGATAACCTTCATATAATATTACAGGAATTGTCAAATATAGACACGAGGTACTGAAAACACTTAATTATTATGTTTGAAAAAAGAAATACATGAACAACACAATAAGTAAATCATTTAGCATACACTTTTAAAATAAATCATGTTTATAAACCATTACTTTTATATATACAAAATAATTTTTTACAAATATTTTTACATTATAAAAATTTAACCAAGGCCTCGATATACACAGCTATCTTGCCATTCTACGGCACCTTGAGTACATAAATATTGGGCAAGTTTGTCACGTAACACTTTTGCGTCACAGCTACGTGTGTTAGATCCTTGCCTACCACATTTATGTAAGTGTTTTTGCTCATCACGTCATTGTCCCAGATTGACTGAATGAGCCGAATCTTCTGTGTCGACAAAACCCGTTGGACAGTATGTTGTGCTGTATTCGGTTAATAAAAAATTATGTAACACAAGGGAAGCAGCAACAATCTTTGGCAATGTTACATTTTCATCGAAATTCAATGACCGTAAAAATATTCTGAAGCGTGATGCCAAAATTCCAAATGCGTTTTCAACAACACGCCGAGCTCGACTCAAACGATAATTAAAAATAAAATGATGAAAATGAGATTTACGAGGGTAAGGTCTCATTATATTTCTCCGCAAGGGTAATGCTTCATCAGCCACAAAGTAATAAGGAAAACTTACATCACAATTTGGCAAATTAGCATCTTTGGGAAGATTAAACGTCTGATTTATTATTTTTTTGCCAAATGTGCATTTCTGAAAAACTCCTCCATCACTTTCGCTTCCATAATGTCCAAAATCTACAAAAATTAATTTGTAGTGGGCATTTGCAACAGCCATTAATATCTTACTAAATCTCCCTTTATAATTATAATTAAGAGACCCAGTATTTGCAGGACACTGCAAAACAATATGTTTACCATCAATACTGCCACAGCAATTGGGCAGTTGCCAACGTTCCAAAAATCCCTCAGCAATGTCTTGTCATTCCTCTTCTGTCTGAGGAACTTTCATATATGTTCCTTTCAATCTATTCCAAATAGCAAAACTGGTCTCTCTCTCACTATTTTAGTTACTGTTGTTCTTCCCACTCGAAAACTGTAACTCAAACTTCGAAAAGTTTCTCCAGTAGAAAGAAACCTAGAATTTTAAGTAAAGTTTAAATATGATGAAATGTATACATTAAGTGCATCATTTTATCATTTCCATTTTGTCACATTCAATTAACTTGTTGTATTTAGAAATAAATAACCATTTAATGCTCTACATGAAAAAATTTAAATGAGAATCACACAAATTAATAACAAACTTGCAATAATTATTTTGTTATAGTACTGGCCAACTGTTTTTATTGTAATAGAAATTAAATAAGCAGATTATAAATGTTTGGTTCTGTACTATAGCTAATAAGTTAACGTTATTATTTTATCCATTTCCTTTTTTATTATAGATTATAATTCGTATTTTGATTTTTTAATACAAAATATTAGAATGTATAAAAATAATAGGCTGTAAAACTCAATAAACTCGATCGTAAGCTGATATAGCATCACGCCATCGGGTATTTTGTTTGGTTATATCAGGCTCAATTAATCACAATAACTTTGCGAATGTCTCGACGGGCATTCGGAGAAACCTACATTTAGATAAAATATATTTCATTTATTCGCTATATAGTAATACTATCCGAATTAAATATCCATGTCAAATAGATGTACTACTGTACTTACTGCATGAAGTGTGTTACTGTGTTGTTATACCAGTTAAACTTTTTAAGTTTAACTGGTATAACAACACAGTTTTCGTCGACGCCATTTTCGTCTACTCTCGGTAGTTGTTTATATGTACAGCGGGCAGAGGGCGCGCATTTCAACTGTAGAGTACAGTATTTGCCGCATGTGAGTACGTGCGGTACGGAAAGACGACGGATCGGTAACCGTTTCCGTCGTCCATTGCTGCATGTGGGTACCAGGCTTAAATTGTGGCTCGTTGTAATGTTACGCGTGATCAAAGTGGCCCGCGAAACAATTTGGGTTGGCCAGGCCTGTCTTAAATAATAAATCTAAATCAGTTCGGCCTAGGACGAACTAGTTAAGCCTAAAGTTTTTAGGCCAAACTAGATTGTCCTAGGATAAACTAGTATATCCTGACACGCGTAGGATAAACTAGTTTGGCCTGAGATCGGGTTTAGCCGGTAATATTTACATAAAAGAACTAAAAAACAAATTTATTCTAAACGGATATCCTAATAGTTTAATCGATCGCTGGGAAAAGAAGATAAATAGTAAAATGAATAATAAAAAATCAAAAAAAGCTGAATACAGATACAAAATATATCAGTTTTCCATATATAACAGGACTATATGAGAATATCAACATAGATTTACAAAAAATTAATGCAAAATTAGCCCGGAAATACGAAAAATTAGAAAATAGATTAAAACTGGTAAAACCTAATAAAGGAGATAATAAAGATCAAGAAACAAAGAACGTAGTGTATAAGATACCGTGTACCTGTAATACAACTAAATACTATATAGGAGAAACCAAACGCAAACTGAGTATACGAGTAAAAGAACATATTGCAGATCTCAAATGTAATCGACTAAGCTCTGTTTTTCATGACCATTGTTTAATAAATAACTGTAATATAAATAAAAATAATGTTAACATCCTACACACAAAAAAAAAAAAAATATGTATAATGGAAAATTTAAACAAAGCATCTCACTTTTAATAGCCAAAAATTGTATCAATAAAAATTTAAGTGTAAAAATAAATGAGAACTGGATGAAAATATTATAATACACACAACATACACTAATGTTGATTGTAATTATCTATAATGGTTATGCTGTTATTAATAATATCTTTCTTTGTAATATGCAAATCAGTACAAAACTGCAATGCAGTATGTAACGTTGATATGGTTAATTTAAAAAACAATAATGTAAAAAATTGTCTACTTATCTTTCGAGAAATATGTGATTATGTCTAAGATTGTTGTATATTGTGAAATAGGTAAAAGATCATTTATAGCAAATTTTAATGAAATTACTCCACTTATTGTAAAATAAGTTGTGTGCGCCCATTAGGTTAAAGCCTTGTATGTATAACGGATTAAAAGTGAATATGGTAAGAAATATACATTATTTTAATTCTGTTTTATTAGATATTTTATGTAATAATTTAAAAACCTTATCTTTTAGTTGACTGATGAGGGGCTTTATGCCCGAAACGTGTTGTTGTCACGTATCAACTAAAAACTGATATAAATAAACACTTGGCTTTATTTCCAATTCACAATTTGAGTTCGAAGTCCAACAATCAAATATTTATTTAAAACTAAGCATCGAGTGCGGCAAAAGCCTCGACCAGAATCCGAATATTTTTATAATACAGCCGCCATTATTTATTTTCAAGAAAGTCTTTGATAAATTACATTATAAATGTATTACAAATTGTTATCGTTTTATTTTAAAATTAATGTAACTAATATAATTTTACTTGCAAACATATCAACCTCTGGTCCGCGGACTCTTTGGATTCCGATGAAAAGGTGAATCATGACTAGGGAAGTGTGATGTTACTGTTCTATGACGTGTGCCTGCAAAGTATAGTGAAAATAGTCTTACTCGAGAAAAATAAGTCGTCCGGAAACACGTCAAGTGGCGTGATTGAAACAAGTGACAATTATGAGTAGTCACGTGACGGCGAGATAAAGACAAGTCGCATGTTTTGTATAAGGTCAGGAACACACGTAAAAATTCTGGCCGAATAGAAAACACCACTGCCACCAACAGTACTAATTTTATTAATTTTTTCCTCTCATATATTCTATTTATCCCTTTGTATCTTCCATTTTTTTCTCCACTTCCTCTGCTATAATATAGAAAATTTTTAAATTAATAGACTTGTATTCCAAATTCAAATAAAGAACGTGTGATCTAAATACTAGGCCTATATATCGATTCTACTAGACTTACCTGTTATTTGAAATTTAACACCTGTAGCCATCCATAAAAGTTGTTTAAATACAGTATCTTTATACATGAGACTGATTTGGTCGAACGGATTCAATAAACTCCTCGATTTCATTTATTTTTCGTTTTTTCGAGACCATCACAATTGTAAGGTTAACCCTCATTGCCGCCATTGTTAGAATAAAAACCACGTGTCTACTTCGACGTCACAGGAAAGACTTCTCTTTATTGGAGGAATTTTGGCGTAAAAAGTAGAAACATGCTCTACTCTATTTTCAGTTCTGTTTCAGCCAAAATTTCAGAAAACTTTTTACGTTTTCTGTTTTATGCTAGATTTTACGCCGAATTTTACGCATGTGTGTTCCTGGCCTAAGTTACCAGTTACAACGTAGCAAATGTATTAGCAAACTATTAATTGTTTGAGATTGAAATTTGTGTTAATTCCATAAGATTTAAAAAATCAACTTTCAAGAAATTTACAAAAGTATTTATTTCATGTTTGATCATTTCAAAATAAAAACAATTAAATGGTATATTTAACGTTAATTTTTATAAATAACATATTTAAAATAGAGTTTACAAAATACAATGACCTATGAGATGGATCGGGTATCGAGAGGGGGTCTGCTGATTCATTAAAATCCTCTAAGGTTTCCCTTATATATTCTTTTATCTCGTCCGATAATGGTGCGTTTTTCGATTCGTACGAAAATTTTACTCTGAGAACGTCGTCTTTTAACTTCTTCTCTTCTTCCTTTAAATTTGAATTCTCTTCTTATGATTGAGAAATCTCTTTCTTTGTCTCTTTCGTGTCGTTTTTCAAGTTGTCAATTCATTTCTTCAACTTACATTTACAATTGTTTTCCCGTTCAATAAGTTTCAAGTATTTTCTTCTCCGTTGTATGTATATCATCTGGCATAGTCTGTATCCGGCCAATCGAAAGAAACCGTTTAGTTCCTCAATCGATCGCCTGATCAGCTCGTCGTCACCTGATATACGAAATTCAACGGTAGCATTTCCATTCCGTTGATTTTCCTGCAGAAAACAAAAAAAAATATATATATATAGTTTTTCCCCCAATAAATAAAGAAATATATAAGTAAAATGAAACTTACCATTTCAGACGAAAATTATTTTCAGTTATTTATGGGATAACTAAAAATGTACACGAAGTTCAATACGGGAGAGCATTACTAAATTGCTTCTTAAGCTTAGTTCACACTGAGCTCGATTCGCTAGCGAAAGCGAATAACCCGTCAAAAACAGAGCGGTTATTCGCTCAGTTTTCCGCTTTCGCTAGCGAATCGCGCTCAGTGTAAACTAAGCTTTATGTACTAAACGACTTTAAGAGTCCACGCTTTTATAGCAGAACGGTAAGCACGTGATTTGCGCATGTTTTCAAATGTGACGTCAAAAATAATTAGCAGACTAAAGCCACAAAATGTAAAACCTCTTTAATCCTTAAGGCTGTTTACCGAAAACTCGTTATCCTTAATGGCATTGTTCACTGAGGCTGAAAGTTTGCTGATAACTCATTAGCATTCTTAATGCATTTTTTTTTAGTGTTTGTAACTATTTATATCAATATATTTTAAATATTATACAATTGATAGTTCTTGAATTTATATATGGAATAAATTATGTTTTCTAAATTAATCATTATTATTTTAATATTATTATTATGTAAAAAAATATCTTTTTAAGCGTTTTAGTGATGGTGAATGGTCAAATATGACTTATGCTGTGGAAACGCTTTTATTTAGTAAAAATGAATTTGTCTCTGAGAAATTAATCTGTAAATTGTAATTCTCGACAAATTTGCATGAAAATATTATTAGAATGACGATTTCCAAATTTAAACAGCCAGAAATAAATATAAGTAATCATAATATCTTGGTGATAATCTATATGTAATCGTGTGAAGTGAAAAATATTCCAAATAGTATTTAAGCATGTGTAAATAAAAAGTCGATAAAGCTTTTAATAAAGCATTTGGTGAATATTTCGTCAATACTGTAATAAATAAGCAAATATCAACTCAGTTTTTCCTGTTTGAATTGAACAATTGCAATAAATGGATAATCTTATTATTTTTGGCTTCGTCAGTTGTTTATAACACTCGAATTACAGTTTGCTGAAGATATTTAAATTCATAATCATAAGAATGTGTATTTATTCTTTCAATTAGGTTTAAGTTTCAACGATGTTTAAACAAATTTACATTAAAAAAATTACATTCGTACACAAAGACTAAATAAAACGAAAAGATTACGATTATAGAGAAAAAGTTAATAACGAAATCTTATTTTTCGTAATGAGAAACAATAATACAATAATAGTTTGCGATTTCAGTCATTTCTAAAAGCTAAGAACAACACTAAAATATATGAAAAAAGTAGAAATAGAAGCAATTTCGAAATGAGTATTTTCGCATTCAATTTAACCAGTTTTAAAAGCTCTCAAATTAAAAATAAAAGCAAATATCGCAGATTATTTAATGTACGAATATTCGATAAGTATTCAGCTGTAAAACTAATTATTATGTACTGTTCTACACCCGTACGATACATGCTTAAAATCAGTGTAGAAACATGTGGATGGTGATCACCCACAAATCATTTCAGTTGTTCGTATCGAATTTATACAAATTTGCATTACAGAATAGTTATTTACATATGATTCAGAATTAATCTTTAAAATATTCAACACAAACGAAGCCGTATTTTATTTACAATATTTGTTTTTTCTATTGAAAATATTGAAAAAAGTGAGAGAAAAGTATTTAAAAAATGAACATAGCTTCCGATGATCAATAACCTATTAATACAAAATATAATCGGAAAGAAGACATTAGAGGGAAAACGTCTTGGATTAATCTTCAAGTTAAAATTTAATTTTCATCTGTAAATAATTCTACCGAACGCAAAAGGAATGTCTGGTAACAATAAATAATTTAAAAAATCGGTTAGTTGGTGATTAATGTCGAAACGCCTATCATTAATAACAATTATTAATATTATTTTTAAAATATATAAAATGTATTTATATAAGGGTTAATAATTAAATATAATTATTACCCTTGAACTTTATTCCCGGAAGTATTTAAAATTTACCGCGACAACTAAAAGTACAGAGCCAATTATCTGTCTTATTGCTTGTCAATCTCATTTATGGTGTTAAAAGGTTTTCAAAACGTCTTTTGTTTTTCTTATCAGTTGGTCCAAGTTTGCTTATTCATCGCGCGTTTTAAAATTAATTACAATGAAAATAATTGCTCGGAAGAATTTAACTGTGTTTAAAGCATCATTTATTTATTGTAATTTATAATAAATTATACGTATTTACATTGCAAAATTATCAAAGAAGCTAAGTAAATTATTTATTTCGCTGTTGTACAATGCAGTGAATAAAAATTTCAACATGTGATTCCAAAATAATAAATATAAATATATAATTTAATTTACGTCGTCACGCCAAAAAAAAAATGGAAACTGCGGTATTGAGAAACAATAAATTGTCACTAAAGTTTTGTAAAAGTGAGGAAATTCCTGGAGCGAGTAAGGAAACGTGCAGGGGCCAAGTATCCAACTCTTCGTTTACAAACAGGAGAACCAATAGTTTGTGAATGAAGATTTTGGCATGTGAACGAAGTATAATAATAGACATATGACGTCGTCTTTCCAGATGTCTTTTTTTATTTTTCTGTCGATAGCCCGACACGTCTTCCGCAGCCATCTTGTATTTTCTCGCGCGCGTGGGATTGAGAGCGTTCGCACCATGGAACTGTGTCCGACCTTAGCCACAATCTAGATCGAAATGCTCGGTGCGAACGGGGTATAACGTTCTACAACAAAATCCACTAAGTTTAGCTTCGCTAGAAAAACAATTTTTTTTTGACACAGAAAACAAAATCCTACCCAATGGCGGATTACTCTATAATAATTTTTCTATTCTTTTTATTTTTCATAAAATAATAATAATAAAATTTTGATTAAAAATTGCAGACCGGCATTTTCTCGGTATCACAATAAATAATTGTACGTTTTCCTATTTCATTAATAAACAGTTCCACTGTTAAAAATTAAGCTCGATCCTTACGTAAATATCGATTGTTAATCAATGGTGTTTGTTTAGTAGATAATAAATAATACAATTTTATAAAAACAAAACAAATATTTTTGTCAATTCGGTAAGAAACATGAATTTAAACGCATTCTCAATTATTCTAAGGTGCAACTGTCATTACTTTTTTTGTGTATTTAAACAGATTCGAACTATGTTTTGTAGTCTTTATCATTTCAAACTTACTTCTTTTTAATAATTGAATAAAGTAAATTTATTTTACAAAGTTGAAAGCCATTTGGGCGCTTTCCACCCTTCCCTCGATCTAATAAATATCCCGACAACAATATATAAGTAAAAGCATAAAAATAACGAAAACAAATACACGTTAAAAATTCTGCGAGATAATTCTGAAGCTTTGCTGAGTGAGTGTCAAAATTACGTTTATTTTTTTCCTTAGTTTTTTGTCAAATACACTGAATATGATTTGTAGTCATAAAGTTAGCTGAATGGTTAACAGTGAGATGTTGGTGTCCTATATTTCCAACTGTATTGTACGCAGACCACAAGGCAGAAACTACAAGTGTGCCAAGTAAAACAAACTGCTGTAGGATAAATGGTAGCATTTCGTTCATCAACCGCGACTATAAAACTTTTGTATAAACGTTGTAGCGAAAAAGCATTGACTTTCGACGAATAATACAACTTTCGTCACCCTCAACTGTGTTACCTGGTCTTTAATGACGATAAAAATATACATTTATGTTTGAAACCTTAATTTTGAAGAGAGATTAGTTTTGTAAATTATAAATGCTAATGACTAGTAACAAAATTCAGTTTGTCACCACTTGAAATTCGATAATGAACTCCTTCACATTTATCCACCCAAATTTAATGTCATTTATCTCCTCAATCAGAAATTTGCTGGAAAACAAATAGGAATTATAAAGCTGTAAATTGGATGTACGAAGTTACCTTCCGAGATACATCCAAGAAGAAAAAAAACGAATTTCTAAATAATTTTTGCCTTTTTCGGTAAGCATTTAGCCATTTTTTACAATGTTTTCCTTTTAGAAATTTAAAATATTTATACATTATAAACATTAATTTCAAATTAAGAATTCTTCCATTCATGTACAGTACAGCCTTTACTGTATCAGCGCTGGTTACAGACTGGTATGTGAAAACTCGAACAAAATATGACTCCACACATATTTTAAAAATTCAAAAAATAAAATTAATTTTTATTATAGACGTAGAAAAAATATCAGATATTTACTACTACAAGTAGTCATTAGTACAGTATTTTTCAATTGTTTCTATTATAAAGTCACTTTAACAACAAGTGATAACTTACATTAATACCGTGTTTCCCCGAAAATAAGACATCCGCAGAAAATAAGACCTAGCACAGATTTTGCTGAATTGCGAAATATAAGACCTCCCCCTGAAAGTAAGACCTAGCGAAGTTTTTTTAGTCGTAACGGTCATCGACAGATGGTTGAAAGTGGCCGTTGGCTTTTTGAAAGTACAGCCACTGATTGGTCAGCAGACAATTACGCCACACGGCATGATTTGCATAAGACTATGGCTTGGGAATCACAGATTTGCATAACGTTACGGCTGATGATGGCTAATTGGTCGGCCGGGAATCACGCCACATGACATTTGCATAGTGCTACGGTTCAGTAAGCACTAATTGGTCATCGAGTTCGATGTTGACGCTATAAAAAGGCGACAGTTCGACACACCGGATATACGTCACTCTCGTCTAAGTTCGACTTGGGCATTTTTTTTGTTCAATAATAAATGTGAATTCTTCTTCCTGGAAAAAATAACACATTCCCTGAAAATAAGACCTAGCGCATTTTTCAGAGCAAAAATTAATATAAGACACTGTCTTATTTTCGGGGAAACACGGTAGATACTGAGTCAATCATTATCCAGAATTGAAACCCAGATAGATTTCGTCAACAGATATTTCCTGATTAGGTGTGTAATGGTGTTCGAAGACCCTGTTTGCATGTTCCAAAAGAGGCTGGAATTTGGCAAACGGATCATGACCGGATTTTCCACTGCCAGGCAACTTACTGTCATCGACGAGATGAAAGAAACTTAGCAATTGACAAAACCGCTGTTCAGATATAATTTCCCGAGACCACGAATTGGATTGGGTGGGAGAAGTGCACCAGTATATAGCGTAATCTGATGATTCTGTGCGACCCACATTTAAAATACACTCCAAAAACCCTTTCACCTCTGGAACAGAGACTTTGGTCCAGTTCTTCAAATAGGATGGTACGTTATTTCCCATGCCATTTAACACTTGCTGCGCATATCGATTGGTTTCCTCCACCATAAGAGACAGCAAAGTACTAGTGAAAAACACATAGAAATATGCGATATAAGGAGAATTTGGAGGTGGCATATGTTTTGGGCCAGGTACCTCACAAAAAGGAAAACGTTGAGCTACTTCTGGTGAAAAAACTTCCCGGTAGATCTCATCTTCCATTTTGTCATTACTGTCAGAATGTGCAGCCGAGGTGGAGGGAGTGGCCACATCATGTTCAGGCTCATAGTCTTCATCTTCAGAACTGGAGAGGGAATATTGACTTGCAGAATCCACTTCCTCTTCAGATTCCTCTTCATAGTATTCATCTCCAAAACTACTTAGATCGGACTCATATTCAGAGTCACCCGTCATCCGATCTAAATTCTCCATTTCGAAACCACTGTCAGAAGGAACAGAGAGAGTTGTGGAAGCCACATCATTTTCAGATTTATAGCCTTCATCTCCTAAACTACTTAGATCGGAGTCATATTCAGAGACATTTGACATCTGATCGAAATACTCTTCGAAATCACTGATTTCGCTTTCAGACATTTTCTAGAAAAATCCTATTTAGAATAAAAACCGTATTACTATAGAAAATAATACAATACAGTAGATTCTCGATATTCCGATGGATTCAGGGTTCCCCGACAGACTGGCACAAATGAAATTTTCTACTTACCACTTCGTATGTGCGACAGATAGAATGAGGTATAGTGCAATTCAGATATGTTATTATCAGTTGTTTGTTAGAAAATCGAAACATTCAAGTGTTTTTTGCTGCATTGGTAATTACAATGGCGGGTTATTTTATAAGGTTAATGTAAAAAATCTGTTGCTTGAGTTTGTTTGAGTGGTCACCCATATAAAAATCTATAGAAACAGAAACTATTTATGTCCTGTTATTGCTTAATTTTGCTTTATTTAATTTAAAATATATCTTCTTATTTCAAATTAATGTGTTGCCCCTGTGCATCATGCTTTTCTGTAAACAACAGCGTTGAGCCGGCCATCCCCGAAAAATTCCTGGAATTTATCAACTCGTCCTGATTCGAACCAGGGTCCCCAAAACGGCAGGCTTGACCGCTCGGCCAATCAACCGTCTGTTCTCGATATATCAGTAAATGACAGTTTATGCATATATTTTGAGTCTTGAGATCCTTATTTTCGGCCATCTTCAGGCCTGTAAATTGGCCGAAAACGTTTATTGTATAATTAAATTTATTGCTGAAAAAGTACGAATGATACTTTTTTAATTTTATCGTCAAATCTCACGTTATTTATCAAAAAAGAATTTTTTCAGACGGCTACTTTTTGGCTAATTTTAAGAAAATTATCGGTTAAAAAAAGCTAAGAAGCATCTGGCAACACTGCTTCGAATGTGAGACGAAGTTTGACTCTTAAAATCGTTTGCATCAAAAATTATAAACATTGAAAATGCCGGAAAGTAAGTTTTTCTTTTAAATTAAACCAAACTTCTTAAAATATAAGCATTTTTAATATGTAAACACGTGGTTCGTAAATTGGAGTTATTTTCCCATGTATAAATGATGCATGTAAATGACAATGTTATGTTATACTTTATCACGTGATGTTTTAATACATATGATTTTATATACACTTTACCTTCATATGAATGCTACGTAGTATACACATTTATATTTGTATATGTACAGTACAATTAGATGCATTAAATTTTTGACAGAAATACATGAGATTACAATTACACCTCTGAATAAGACAGTTGGAACCTTATGAGAGAGAGACAGTATCCGTAGGAGCAAAAAGTCAAAGGAACCGTACCTCTACGCGCGACCGTTGGTGAGGTACGGTTCTTCGAAATTGTCCTACTTTCGGGTTGCGCGTGATTGCAAGTTGCGTTGCTTCGCCTTTTAATTATTTTGCCAGTGCCACTATGCCGGATTTGAGTAGTCCTGGAGTTATACACGACTCTGGAGTGAAAAGTTAATAACATTTTCCAAATTTAAGTGGATTATATGTAGCAAGTGGTAAGAAAATAAGTTGCAAAATGAAAGGAAGGAAGACCTTCAATGATGTACAGTACCGAGATGTGGGTGATTATGAGAGCCTGGAAAAAGACGGCGGAGATGAGAATGCCGAGATAGATGTGTGGTGTGATGATGATGAACAGAATTGGGAATGATTACGTAAGAGGAACATTCGAGGTGGATCCTATAAGTAAGAAGATGCAGGAAACTAGATTAAGATGGTTTGGATGTGAGGAAAGAGGAAATGAGGACTATGTTGGAAAGAGGGTTGGGAAGTTGGAAGTGAAAGGGAAGAGGAAGTGGGGAAGACTGATGCTGAGATGGAGAGACAAGGTAGCAGAGGATTTGGGAGAGTGGATGCTCTGAATATAGGGAAGTGGTGGAGACAGATTAAAGATGGGAATGCTGATCCTAAATAAACATGGAAAAAAGCTGAGAGAGAAGAAAGGTTGTTTGTTAAGACAGTAAGATAGTTACAGATTCAGAATGAATTTAAATATATAACTATAATTCTAAAAAATTAAAGGATTAAAAATTCAGAAAAATAGTCTTCGAGTAAAAAGTACAATCTATCAGCACCGATTTCGAGGAAATTTATGACATAGACAGTTAACAATTAAAAAAGGTTTATTATACTTTTTCTCCTTTATTTGGATAAAGGATAAAAGAATGGAGAACAGAATTTTACTCATCTTTTTTTTAAAATCTCGAGATATACGAGATATATATGTTTGGTGAAAATTTGTTGCTGAAATTCTTGTCAGTAATTTTGGTATTAGTCTAATCATTGGGTATACAAGTATCCTTTTGATGTTTCTGAAATCAAATCCTTCTAAATTCATTATTTGTATAATCAAAAATGTAGAAAATGGATTTCAAACAAAACACTTTTAAATGGTACTGAGTTTTTTTTTTATGAAGTAATTTTGTTAATAGTTTTTAAGCTGCAAACAAGGCATGTTGCCTTGGGAGCTTAAATCTGGCTGAAGTTTAAGTATATCAGTTTGAGTTGATGACACTGCTGAACACAGAAATGAAGTTTAGTTCTAAATGCATGATTCAATTTACATGTTTTAATGGCACTAAGGGGCTGTCCATAAATGACATTCACAGTGAGAGGGAGGGAGTGGGTTACGACAAGTTGGAGAAGAGGGATCAAGCTTAAGTGGATGTTCATTTGTCATTAAATTTTAAACAGTTTATTGCATTTTATTATATTTATTTCAAGATTTCTTGTGTTTTCTTTTATAGTTATGCTATCTATCATTCATAAAGTGATAGAGGTTTTAAGGGGGGCTGAGTTTTGTTGGATGTCCAAAGATGGGAGGGAATAAATCAACTCTTTAAACATGAAATTGGCTTAAACCATTAGAGACAAAATCAGCCAATAAAAAAATTGTTTGATTAGTTTTTATTTACAAGTTCCCCTTGTAGCCTGAGGGATGAAAACAATTTAGTCTCCAGGTACATAGGAAAAAATTTTCAGAGCTTAGAGTTAAAAAATAAAATCTACCGGTGTATGGCAAGTTTACTTTTAAAACTGATGCTATTACAATGAGATGTTTTAAATCAAATAGGAGTTCTGTTCAAATTTTTAAAATGCTGTTTGTGAGTTTGAATTTCACTAGAATGCTTGATGGAAATTTAGATGTTCAAACCTTTTTGGGTCTGATGATGGGACAGAAGTTACAAAAAACATTTCACCAAATAAAAAGCTTTGACTCCTATAGTCATCTTAGCATTTATGTTTCTCCTGTTATAAGTGTATGCATTAGACAAATATGAAAGACCAATTTCACTTTGCTAGCAGAACAATGTTCAGTAATCTGAGTTTCAACACACAATAGTTCAGCTTTCAATACTAAGTGATATGCATTATACACACCTTTTACTTTTTTCTGCATTTAGCTAGGACCTTTATGAAGATGGACTAATTCTCTAAGTAACAATGTTTTCTTCATATAAAGAGAACTCAATCTACCATTTAAATATTCATTTTTGGTAAATTAGCAATGTTGCTAAAAAGATAACTCCATAAAAACCATGTCTAAATTGAAAAAAGAAACAAAATGGTTATCAGTATACAAGGTATCTGAAAAGTTACTGTGCAGTGAAAGATTTGCAATGTCATTAAAGTTATATGTATGGTATTGAATACAATATTTGTAAGTCATACATCTCATGTTTCCATTTTGCAATAGATGGGGGTTACCACTCACTCACAGATGTTCCAGTTTTCAGAAGACTTCTTTCTTAGTTGCATACTTTACCATGGAATCTGGCCCACTAGGTCTCTGGACCATACTCTCCCAATTTTGGGGCCTCTGGGGAATATCTCTAGTATTTACTGTAGGAGAAACTGCAATGTAAAATTTCTTTTATTAAAACTTAACTTAAACATTTTCTAATGCACAACTTTTCGGACACCTGTATGAAAAAGATCAGTACATGAGAATTAAAAGTTAAATATTTTATTATAGTAAGTAATTTTCAAGAGTAACTTCTCATTAAAATATATATTTTTCAGGGGATCATGAACCCTTTTCTAATCCTCTTCCTCCCACCGGGATGGAAATGAGAAGAGGAGAGGAAGCCGAACTGTAAGTATTAATTTTTTCATAATAGAAAATTAAAAACAAAATATTTTATATTTTAGTATAAAGTAGAATCTACTTATTGTAATCATTTTGGGAGTTGTTTATTGATAACAATAATCAAATGATAAACATTAAGATAAGTATTTAAATAAGTATATGGTTAATGTAAATTTTGGTTTATTGAACCTCATATTAACATGATATTTTAAGAAGAATTAATAAATGTATAATTTGAATTTTTATTAATTATATTGCTATGTCTGTATCTTGGCATGATTTTAAGTTATTATTGAATTGGATTCATTTGTAGATAAAGTTTTCAATTCAAATATTTTAAAATAGTATCCCAACTTTTCTAATAAAAGAACTAAACTTGCTGTGTTTAATTCAATTATGACAAATTGAAGATGGATAACTTTGAATTTAAATTACCAGATATATTGAGAAAGGAATTCATGAGTGTAGGAAAGGCTTATTTTTAATATATGCATAATTTTGGTTCAATGAATAAAGAAAAAAAAAAAAATAAACAAACTGAAAAATAATAATAGTAAGTAATTCTTTTTACCTCTGTGTCCTTACTCTTATCAATTTCTGTTTATATCCTTGTCTACTTGGACCTTGTTTATTAATAGGACTTATTACACCAGTGTTATAAGTCCTATTAATGAACAAGGTCCAAGTAGACAAGGATATAAACAGAAATTAAGCAAAATTTTGCAGCAGCATCTCAATGAAGACACGATCTGAACAGAGAGTGAATGAATTTTATGCACTTTGTTTATGCTGAGATTTCCAGAGGTCTACCAAAATGAATGCTACTATTTTAAATGATTGTAATTATGTTAATTATTATCCAAGAAGTATGCAATGTGCACAATTGCTAGGGTAATTGTCCGAGTTTTGCCTTCCATCTGCATTTGAATGTCTCATTGTCTGCTATCTCTTGGAAGTGCCATAAAAGAAAATGTCTCTACAACAGAGAAAGCATTTTATGTTCTGCAGTTTGCAAAGTTGGAATCATTGTTATTGTGCAACAAGAGTAATCTTTAAGAGCTGTAGAATTGTGGCTGCCATGGGAGAAGTGGCAATAGATGTGTCGTAGTGAGCGTAGAAAGAATTTGATCATAATAATTTAAAATGGTAGCATTCTTTTTCGAAGATCAAGTTTTTATTTAATAATTAATTTCCTCATGTATGTAAAGGGACAAAGTTAGAAGATACTTTATGTATTGTCTATTTTTAAGAATTTTTCTTAAATTTTGTAACTTTATGTCTTTATTTATGTCTTTGTTCTTTTGCATTATCTGTAAAATGCGGTTTGCAGAAAAAATTTATTTACCACATTTCTTTGATTCTAAGATGCACTGAGATTTTGAAATTGAGTTTTAAGACTTTTTATCAAAGAAAAAATTTTAAAATAATTAATTTCATTAAATATTTGTTAATTCTCAACAAGTTAGATACAGTAGAGCAGTGTTTCTCAACTTCTAACAAATCGTCGCCCCCTTCAATAAAACCATTACGTACTATCGCCCCCTTCACTTCAAAATTCCAATGCCGAGGGTCAAGGCTAACGCCAAATTCGTACTGCATTGAATAGACTAGTGACTAGTATAATGTTATTTGTTTAATTATTGTACGATATAACAAATAAAATATCTAATTATTCTTAATATGATGTTTTACTATATCACCCAGAAAATTGTTTTTTGCCTCCCAAAATATAAATTGTTAATCGCCCCTCAACATGGAAAAATGCCCACATGGGAGCGATATCGCCCCCGTTGAGAAACACTGCAGTAGAGCATCGATTATCTGAATGTCGATCAATCGAAATGTCAATTAACCGAAAGCTTTCCAGTCAGCAAGTTTAAATTTCTCCTAGTGCTGTGGCACTGCAATTTTTTCTATGTCTTGGGCTACTTCAATATTATTTTTGTTGGTGTGCATGTTTTAGCTGGTAGCACTGGCGCGACCATGAGAGGATACTTAAGGACATGCCAGAATTTGAACAAATTTCAACATGGGATAGATTAATACAGTATATTTTTTCGTACATAATCGGTTATCTGAAAAATTGATTTTCTGAACAACCTAGTCCCCAATTGTTTCGGATAATCGATGCTCTACTGTATTTTCTGACTTGTAAATGCCATGAAATAAATAATTTCTGTCATTTATGTGGTCTATTTCTATAATCTTGTGAACATACAACAACTTTTTGCTTTACATTGCATTATAATGTCATTTTGAAATATTAAAGAGATGTTTTTAATGTTCAATGCTTGTTACTAGCAAAGCTTATTTGAAATGATGTGATCATTGAGTAGCATAGTGAAAAATGTTTATTAATAGTATATAATGTACGTCATCAGCTGGAAGTGATTACCAAACTGACCGAAATGACTGTTGAAATTGCTATTTTGACTACAAATATAAGATGATTAAAAACTCTAATAAACAACTTAGATATTCACAGATGGTTATCAGCATATTTATAATTTGCAAGATACTATTTCTAGAAAAATGAATATTCTGAAATAAATTATAGCAATAGAAAGTGAAAATATCTGCATAAATTATAGGTGGAGACCTAATTGTAAATAAAATACATTAATATCTTGAAGTGGATAATATTTAAATGAGGAGAGACATTAATGATAATTGACAGCGTTTAAATTTGTTGATTCTGCTCAAGAAATTATAGCAGAATTTAGCATGTAAATAATTCATACTTTAATTTGCTAAAGTAATCTTGCAAACCTAATTCCTGTAATTATATTAACTAATTAATTAACAGTTCAGTGGTGCCTCATACTTCAAATGGTTCAAAGTTTGAATGTTAAATTTAAATCGTACTTCAGAATTTGAATGATGCTTCAGTTCGAACTGTGTGTACAATGAAAAAACTGCACTCAAAGCATAAATGAAATCTGTTGTGTGCCCAATGTGCCAAAGTCATCTCTTGCTCTTCCATTACACTTTTATGTTTTCAGTGCTTTTTACACTTTATTTTTTGGTGTGTTTGGTTATATATATTGTACATTATTTGTTGATTTTTAACAATTTCTTCCTGCAATTTTTCTTTGTCAGCAACTTTTGGGCACCCTACAGTATTTGTTTTGTATCTGTTAGTTCAAAATTTCCTGAATGGAACTTTTCTAAACTAACATTCAAGATGTTTGAAGTTTGGGAGCTTCTTTCTCACACACATTATGAACTGTTTATCTGGGGTTATATCCTTTCCAAAACTCATAAAGTATAATAAACCAGATTAATGTTTTATCCAAAGCTGTCAAATTGATTTTATTCAAACCAAATGTGAAGTAAAAAGTTCAAAAAAAATTTCTAAACAAAAAATACAGTCTTACATTGGCAATAATGTGTTAAATTTAACAACTGTTATAATTAAATCACACATCTATGTTAATTTTAAGTAACCACAGTGTTAAAAATATGCAAAAACTTTTGCAACAGAGAAATGCATGAAAGCTAAGAGATGGGGTGTAATATCAATGTTGAGATAAAAAGGAACTCATTGCACAGAACACACACATAGTGGATCTGGTGGCTGTGTTTAAGATGCTGAAGTCGACAGTGTGTGACTGCTTAATATAATTTTCATTTAATTTTACAGTATTTATGTATATTTATTGTTTTTGTGTTTGAATATATTATGAGGGCATTTAATTGTGTTATATTTATCTTAATTATGCACATTTGTTGTTTTAAGTTTATTGAAGTGGGTATCATTTATGGTTAAAGAATGAATTAAATTCGAAGTATGGGACACCACTGTATTATAGTTTTGGTAAATACAAATAGTCCTTAGTGCAATTCCCTCAAATAAGTGTGTTAATGCTCCATGCAGCACTTATTACAGACATTCTTCAGAATCACATTATACCAAAAACTGATGTGTAGTACGAAAATTGTTTGTAATTAATGAACCACATTAAAACAAAATTATGTTAACTGAGGACTTCCTGTACAGCTATATAACTTATCAATATTTGTACATATTAAATATAAATTATTATATAAATTAGATTGTTTTTATTGCACAAATGTATTTATTTATAAATTTTTTTCTCTGTAATTTAGTCCTGCCCATCCCATGACCAATGAAGATTTTCGTAAACTTTTGATGACTCCCCGAGTGCCACCTCCCACCGCACCTCCAGCAGCAAAACCAGAAATATTTGAGTAAGTCACTTTGTAAATTTATACATATCGTATAAAAGATTTATATTTAATCTCAGTAATCTGAAATGTACGGGATTGGAACAGTGTCAAAGATTGCCAGATTATTGGAAGTATCAATAAAATGAGTTCAATGGATTAATCATTTGGAAAGAAAGTAGTCGTATGTTATTGTATATTAGAGTTCTCAAGTTAATTGTCAATCCATTCAAATAATTTTAATTATGTAGTTCTAACCTTACCTTTAATAAATTAAATAATTATCTGAAATAAAAAATTGGTGGAGATACAGTGCGGAGCAGAATTATACACCAGTGTAATTTTTAAAAAAAATCTTTTGAATTATTTAGAGTAGATGGATAAAATTTTACATATTTTTTTATCATCTTCTAATGGCACATATCATCCTGATCAATTAATCCAAGCATAAGTTATGCAAAAATAGTCATTTCAGTAGGTAGAGAGATGAAGATGGGTAGATTCATAGAAGAAATTGTAACCAGATGGATATGTGGACAGTTAGCAGTACATAGCCGTGAAACCTTCAACTATTAAGTTAAATATTGCAGGTATTTGTATTTATGTAATAGTGGCTGAAACCTCGTATATCTCCGCCAATTGGTTATTTGAGATAATTATTTAATATTAAATATCTTTAGTCATTTTGTTATTCAAGTGTTCTGCCAAATTGGTGGATTTCCAATAAATTTAGTGGGAAATTGAAGTGACTGAAGGAGATTTAGCAGGCGGTACAGTATTTTTAGGGGGCGATTTTGCTATTTATAGAATATTATAAGATACTAAACCACAGAGTCAAACAAAGGTTCCATTAATAATATATTTAATATATTATAACATAACATTAAAGATCCCATGTAAAGATCAAATTAATATATCTTCCATAGTTTTGAAATGAAAAGGATGCAAGGAACTTTCGACTCGCACTGTATTTGCATGCTCTTAACATAATGTCAGTGTACAATCTTGGTAATTTGATGTGTTGAACATAATATAATCTCTGATATGTGATGTTGCATTTGACATTATGTATTTGATTTTCAGTTTGATTTGTATTTCATTTTTAGAACCTGAAGATGATTTTTAAAAAAGATTGAAAATGTTAGTCGTCAATAAATTGTGTTTGTTCAAGGTTTTCTTAAGTGATTTTGCAAGCAGTTTTGTTCTGTTACTGTGGAAACTAAACTGGACTTTATAAAAAGTGCTTAAGGTGGAAAAAACTTCAGATGTTGGGATGAAGGTCCAACCATTGCAACAATTTTAAAAGATGAGGAATGCATTTTGGAACATGTTCAAAATTCTAAGTCAACACATTCAATGATAATTAGTAAGAGAAGTGTAATGTGGAAGATATAGCAAAATTATTGCAAGTTTGAATGGGAGATCAGTATTGACGGCACCTGTCTGTAAGCCTAAGTTTAATTCATAAAAAGTTCATAAGTCTGAAGATGTAAAGAGGAAACAAGGCGAGAGTGTTATAGAAAATATCTTCAAGGTTAGCTATGTTTGGTTTTATAGATTTTAAAGCATGTTCAAACTTGTGTAACATAAAAGTGAGTGGAGAGGCTGCAAGTATGGACTTGGTAGTGGAATTTCCTTTGGAATTGGCTGCAATTATTGAAGATGGAGGCTGCCTCTCATAACAGATATTCAATGTCAATGAGATCGGGTTGTACTGGAAGAAAATGCCAACACGTACGTACATTGCTAAAGAGGAGAAATCAATGTCTGGGTTTATAACCTCAAAAGCTAGTTACATTCCTGCTAGATGGAAATGTTGCCAATGACTAAAATTAGATCAATGCTAGTTTACCATTCTGAAACCCTCAGATCCCTTAAAGGTATCATTAAAGCTTTGCTTCTGGTTCTGTGAAATCCATTGTGGATAACAAAAATATTTTTTAAAGACTGGTTCTTCCATACATTTGCTCCTGAAGTAGAAAAGTACTTCTCCAATCAAAAAAACTTCCTTTCAATATTTTACTTGTACTAGATAAAGCCCCTTGACAATCCACATCTTGACAATTTTCACAACAATATCAAGGTAAGGTAGTATAATGCCTCCTAATACAATCTCTGTCCTACAGTTGATAGATCAAGATGTAATAGCAAATCTTAAAGCTTACTGTCTATGCAGAACTTTCTCACAGGCTGTGAAAGATACTGAAAATGAGAATGAAGTAACACTTACACTACGTTCGCACACAATCCACAACTCACTTCGATCTCGATTTACCCGCAATCTGGATTGTGACTGTCGCCAGTCAAACATCGTGCTGTTCGCACAGGTAACTCGCTTGAGAAGAACCCGGCTATTACACGCGATGATAAAATTGACATAACTACGCGATAAGTCACGAACAGTGCTGCCATTTCTAGGGTAAAGGTCAATTAAGTGAACTGCTTATTTAATTAATTTTTTATCTCCATATCAGATGTGAATTAATACCTCTGATAAAATCTAATAAGACATTTTAGTTACTAAGATTTTTAAAAACAATGAATTAAGAATTGTTTTGATTATTATTTCATGATAATCGTTCGTCTTATTTTTTTTATCCGAGCGTGAGTTCGATGATGGTCGAGCTTGGAGAGTTTCCTCAGTTTAGGGTAAATTTAGGGCGTCGTTGCGGTAGTTTCACTAGAAGCAAGCGGCAGCACTGGTCATGAACACAAACAAAGAAAATACCCAAGCCCAACGACTATGATAAGACGAAGACAAAGAAAATGGAAGCTAATAACAAAGATGCGTTACTAGTAGGTCTATATGCAGCAAAGTTAATAGACATTTGCAATCAAATGACTGTAAACAGAAATCGTTTAAGTCATTTGATCAAAATATGTCGTCATATGAAGAAGAGGAACCAAGACATTAAGATTTTTTTAAGTAATGTATTGCAGAATCGTGCCTCACCAAGTTGTTGGTCATATCCAAAAGGCAGCGATTGGTGGACAACTGTTGTAAAAGCATGGACTCCAGCAAAATGGAAGGAGAATTTCTGAGTTTCTCAAGAAACATTTTATTTTCTGTGTGCAAACCTTAAGGAAATGGAGTGCCTAGATACAAACTATAGAAAATGCATTTCATTGGATAAGAGAATTGCGATAGCTCTATACACACTGTCTTCCACAGTAGAATTTCGGAGTATTGCAAACTTGTTTGGAGTAGACAAGACATCAGTTTTCAAAACACTGCACGAGTTTTGCAACCTGCTGATCGAAAAGGTAGACTCAAAAATAATGTTTCCTGGAACAACAAAAGAGTTGTTAAAAAAAGCCGAAGAATTTGAGAATTTATGGCAATTTCTGCAGTGTATCGGAGCGATTGATGGGACTCATATTAAAGTCAGTCCACCAAAGGAACATGCAGTTGATTACTATAACTACAAAAGCTTTTATAGTGTTGTACTGCTGGCAATATGTGATGCAAAATACAAGTTCACCTATGTCAATGTTGGTGCACCTGGGAGGAATAACGACTCTGTGTTTCAAAACAGTGGAATCTATCAAATATTTAATGTGTTCACTTTGTATAGTGAACTGAGAAAAAGTTACAATGGGGTTAATGTACCTCTACTTTTATTAGGTGACTCAGCATTTCCACTTATGCCTATCTTAATGAAACCATTTCCTGACAGTGCTAATTTGCCCAATGAGAAAAAGCAATTCAACTACCATTTGTCTCGAGCCAGAAGAGTAGTGGAAAATGCATTTGGTCGTCTAAAGGCACGGTTCAGATTCATCAGCAGAAGATTAGAACTAAACCTAAATAATGTATCATTCCTAATTCGGGCTTGTTGCATCCTACATAACATATGTGAAGAACTAAATGATAACATACATGATGATTGGTTAAATGAGCTGCAACATGAGACTACTGTCAATTCTGCTCCCACAGTAGTAGGGGAATATGATCACTCAGCACAAGAAATTAGAAATGCACTTGTCATGTACTTTAACAACTAAGATAAGATTTATTTACTTACACAAACCAAGAATGAATAATTCAGATTTTATTTCATATCATTAATCAACAATAAATACATTTTGTAAAAAAAAATGATTGAGTTTGGAAACAATAAAAAGACGTGTAATGAATACAATATTGTTGTAAATCATAAATGTAAAATTATTCCATACATTGTAACCCCTCTGTAACAGGGAAATTATTCTCATTTGTTAATAAAGATTGATGATGATAATAAACACATTTTGTTTACTTGTTCTTATTTACAAGAGCAGCAATTAAATTATTAAATTCTTTTTGTAAATTTAAACTCTGGCGAAAGAGGTCATTTTGATCTTTTAATAAAGTTAATATTTGGTTATCGACCTCTCTCGTTTCCTCATGCTGTCTTTGAACAAGTTGTGATAGTTCAGCAACATGGCTAGTTTTCTGCTTTTTATTTTGATGCCTGCTTTCTTCAAATCTTTTTGTTGGAGCACTCTGTGAATATGAGGTGCTTGCAGTAGGTGATGGTGTACTTAGGTCTAGTACAGGTTCTTCAGATTCGGAAACAGCATATGCAGCCTCTGCAGTACCTGTAATATTGTAAATAAGAGATAAGAGCATATTAAGTACAAAAAACAGTTACTATTACAATGCTGGGTATATGGTCCTGAAATACGCAAATAAGGTTTAATGGTTTAAAACACCTAGCTAGCATCAAGTTCAACAATTCTGTACATTCATGTCAGTATGACAGTTTTTTAAATTTCTAATTAATTTTTTTTCTATACTATAGTACCGTGTTTCCCCGAAAATAAGACATCCACAGAAAATAAGACCTAGCACAGATTTTGCTGAATTGTGAAATATAAGACCCTCCTGAAAGTAAGACCTAGCGAAGTTTTTTTTAGTTGTAACGGTCATCGACAGATAGTTGAAAGTGGCCGTTGGCTTTTTGAAAGTACAGCCACTGATTGGTCAGCAGACAATTATGCCAAACGGCATGATTTGCATAAGACTATGGCTTGGGAATCACAGATTTGCATAACGTTACGGCTGGTGATGGCTAATTGATCGACCGGGAATCACGCCACATTACATTTGCATAGTGCTACGGTTCAGTAAGCACTAATTGGTCATCGAGTCCGATGTTGACGCTATGAAAAGGCGACAGTTCGACACACCGGATATACGTCACTCTCGTCTAAGTTCATCTTGGGAATTTTTTTGTTCAAAATAATAAATGTGAATTCTTCTTCCTAGAAAAAATAAGACATTTCCTGAAAATAAGACCTAGCACATTTTTCAGAGCAAAAATTAATATAAGACACTGTCTTATTTTCGGGGAAACACGGTAGCTCTGACTTGTGAGCTATAAAACAGTTAAACTGAATGTGCTAAAAAGTAGCAGCTTTTGGATAAGTTTTCAGGACCCAGACAACTTACCTAATACGACTAAGTTTTCATCTTGTATGTTGACTGTTTTCATATAATTTATGCTTGAATTTAAAATTGGCAGTGTTGATTCCTGCATCAAGCTTGTGTCATTAACAGGCAAGCATCTTAATATTTCATGAGTTCTCTCAAAAAATTTCCAAGTGGAGGGTTGTCCACCACTAGGACCAACTGCAATTTTTTCTCTGCTAAATAAAAGAAAAGAAAAATTTAGGTAATTATGCAGTTTTAATATTTATCATAAAATATTATAATTTACAGTGGTGTGAAAAAATTAGAATACTATTGAAATAATGTGCTTTACTGCATTACATTGAATGTTGTGCTAAATTTTTGTAACCACTGTATATTTATTAATAGTTATATAATTAAAGCTGCACACCTATCTAGTTCTAGCTCAGTTCCAGAAACGAATAATGTAACCAGAGTATTAAATCTGACAAAAAGTCATTAATTTTCAAATTGTAAATGTCACTAATAATATATATATATATACATACATACTTNTGGTACTAGAGGTGAACATTAGGTACCATCTCTTATTAAATTTAATAATTATATTTACTAATTGATTTAAAACATTCTGGAAGAAAAGAACCAGCCCAGAGCGGAACTCGAATCTGCAACTCCTGCTTACCGTGCAGATGCATTGCCACGTGAACCTCCATTTGAGTCTTTGCTTTCAGACATATTTAATATAAGGTATAACCATCTACAGTTACTCATGATGCTGACTGAGGATGACTCCTACACCCACAGCCTTTTAATTATGCACTATGTCACTCAGTTGGATTAAAAGGTCATGGACATAGTAGCTGTTCATGGATGTTATACAATATGTTAAATATGTCTAGAAGCAAAGAGTCTGACAGAGGTCCAGGTAATTGGCAATACATCACACAATAAGCAGGAGTTACTGGTTTGAGTCCTGCTCCAGGCCTATTCTTTTTTTCCAGAATATTCTAAATTAATTAGTAAATATTATAATTATTAAATTTAATAAGAGATGGTATCTCTAGTAACAAATTACTTAGTAGTTAATCATTAATAATAGCATTTAGTCTGATTTATTAGAATCATTATTGCAATTGTTTGGTTTATTATTAGATATCTAATAGTACGAAAATCTCGTCGTCTCTCCAGATGTCTTTTTTATTTCTCTGTCGATAGCTCGACACGTGTTCAGCAGTCATCTTGTATTTTCTCGCGCGCGTGGGATTGTGGGATCTCTCTTATGACTGGATCTAGTTTCAAGAACTCTCTCCAGTCGATCGCGATAGAACCTCGTTTCAGTCGAGATTGAAATGGTCGAGAGCGTTTGCACCACGGAACTGTCTCCGACCTTAGCCACAATCTAGAACGAAATGCTCGGCGCGAACGGGGTATTAGGTAGTTCTGGAAGAACTATAACAGATACAAAGCAATAAAAAACATTGATGCTTCCTGGCATGAGGTAATGAATAAAAATGAATGGTGTCTGTAAAAAGCTCTGTCCACAATTTACCAAGAACTTAACAGAGCCACTGACTTCAGTGACCAACAAGGTGATGGTGGTGGAACTAGACAGGCAATTACATTTAGAAATTGATGATGATAATGAAATGCTGGGAAGCTATAGTCAGGGGCTTTGTAGTGAGGATTTAATTGAGTTAATAGAAAAAATATGACATGACAGAAGAGCAGCAAAGTGAGGAAGAAAAGAACTTCACTGGCTGAAGATTTTCAATTGATCAAGATGGCTCTAAGAAACATAGAAAAATATAGGTGCATTTTGGAAGCAATACAATTTGTTGCTACAGACAAATTTGCAAAGACAAAAAAAAAATTAGCTGTACAGACATCCATTGATTTGAATAGAAAAGAGTGACACCAAATTTGGTTTCAACACGTTACTGCATTGCAAGCAATAATGTGTTTTATCAGGTCCTACGTTTATAGACATTCTACCTATCCAGGGATGTTTAGGATTGTTGATTCAGTTACATTTAGTTGAGCTGATAATTTATAACATAAAATAATTTATTGTTTTTTAAATTGATTTTATATTATAATAAATATTAAAAATAAATTATAATGATGATAATTCATTTTTAACTATAGAGAGAAAGATGAAATTGATGATACAGGCGATAGAGCCGAAAAAAGGAAGAAGAAGAAAAAGTAAGTTAAATAGTGATGAGAATAAAAAATTAATTCATATTTAGTAATAATTTTAATTACGAAAATTTATATAAACAGGAAAAAACCAAAAAATAGTTAAAAATATGCTAAAAATAAAATTACATATAATAAACAACATATACATGGTGTCTAAAATGTCCAGTGAGAAATTTGTAACGACTTTAAAGTTATAAGTCTGGCATTGCGTGCAAGATCCATAAGTTGTATATGCCGCATTTCCACTTTGCAGTTGATGGCATTACTGCCTGCCAATAGACATTCCAATTTTTGGACTGAAGTATTTGGATGGAGTCTTTGTTGATCGCATAATCTCCTATAGTATCTTGAGGCATCTAGACCTCACTTCTTCAGATTTTGGGGCCTCTGGGGATATTTCCAGCATTTGCTGCAAGAGAAATTGTAATATACTTAAAACATAAACCCTTATAGAACTCTTGTCAAAATAGAACATTATATAATAAAATACTTTATATAAAAATTTGTTTTTATATATAGGATGGCTCAAAAGTCAGATAATGGATATATTTTAAGGGTGCCAAAAACTGGTGTTGAATGAGTTTGTGTTGTTTTTTGTAATTCACTTTATTGGAAGTCGATGAATCAGGAATACATTGAAAGTTGGTTTAGAACAACTATGTAACATAAGGTTATTCTAAATCAGCTTTAACCATTCTTAAAATATATCTCATAAAGAAAGGCAACAAAATGAGTATCTGAGTTTTAAATATTTTACGTTTAAAACAAAAGTAAAATTAAACCTGTTAATAGTCAAAAATCCTGAATTCTAAATAGTTTCCAGAAATCAAGAGGGACCAATTTTAAGTTGGAGTTCTGTGCTCTGATGGCAAATATTCCTGGTGTTTGTTTCTGTTTGAGTCTATTCTATGGCTTTGGTGGGTTTAGTCCTCAATTTTTACTTCTGTAGGAATGGTGGATTACATTTCTCATCATCCAATTATTTATTATTGCAGTGTTTTTACAAATTTACTTATTAAATAATACTTATAGTTTATTTATTCCCACAATTGTTTTTTTAACAGTTGTAAATAACAATTTTAAATTTTCAAAGAAATTCAAATTTTCTAAAACACAGGCTAAGAAACAACAAACAACTTGGAAATTGTTGAAATGAAGTATTTTGATTAACTCTTAGTCAGAAGAAAAAACTGCCATTAGCAGACCTATATTAGATTCTCATTTACAAACCAGTTTAAGTTGTAACACTGTTGCAACATCTCTAACTTACAGATAAATGGAATGTTTTAATTTTCCTTTAGGTTGTGTTTGTGTTTATTTCTGCTATTGGAAACTTTGTAAAAATACAAACGTCCTAAAAGAATTCTGCCATTTTAAATTACTGTAATTACATTAATTATTATCTGAAAAGTATGCAATGTACACCAATTGATAAAGTAACTATTTGAATTTCATTTACCATCTGCATTCAAACATTTTTTTGTCTGGCATTGCTAGGAAGTGCTTTAAACGAAAAATGGCAACACTGCAACGGAGAAAGTGTTTTGTGTTCTGCAATTTACAAAGTCAGAATCGGCATCATTTTGCAACAATAGTTTCACAGACAATCTCATACTGATCCACCATTTAAGGCAAGCACTCTTGTTGCACAGTGTTGACTGATTTTGTGTTTGCAGACTACAATAATACAGGAATACAAAATGCATTCTCTGTTGTGGAGTCGCTTTTTTTGTTTATGGTGCTTTCTAGACACATTAGACAAAAACATGTTTGAATAAGACAGTAAATGAAATTTGAACAGTTGCTTTATTGATTGGTGTACTGTACATCACATACTTCTTGGGTAATAATTACATAATCACAGTAATTTAAGATTGTTTCATTCTTTTGAAAGACCCTGTATAATAAAAGTATACTAACCCAAACAATTGTCTTAATGAATCGAGCTAATTAAGTGCTATTATTAATGATTAACTACTAAGTGATTTGGTACTAGAGGTGAACATTAGGTACCATCTCTTATTAAATTTAATAATTATATTTACTAATTGATTTAAAACATTCTGGAAGAAAAGAACCAGCCCAGAGCGGAACTCGAATCTGCAACTCCTGCTTACCGTGCAGATGCATTGCCACGTGAACCTCCATTTGAGTCTTTGCTTTCAGACATATTTAATATAAGGTATAACCATCTACAGTTACTCATGATGCCGACTGAGGATGACTCCTACACCCACAGCCTTTTAATTATGCACTATGTCACTCAGTTGGATTAAAAGGTCATGGACATAGTAGCTGTTCATGGATGTTATACAATATGTTAAATATGTCTAGAAGCAAAGAGTCTGACAGAGGTCCAGGTAATTGGCAATACATCACACAATAAGCAGGAGTTACTGGTTTGAGTCCTGCTCCAGGCCTATTCTTTTTTTCCAGAATATTCTAAATTAATTAGTAAATATTATAATTATTAAATTTAATAAGAGATGGTATCTCTAGTAACAAATTACTTAGTAGTTAATCATTAATAATAGCATTTAGTCTGATTTATTAGAATCATTATTGCAATTGTTTGGTTTATTATTAGTACTGTGAGAATCCAGGTGCTGTTTTTCTATAATTTTTAATGAAAAGATATATTTAGAAACTTTTCCTTTTACCATCTGTTTCCTACAGAGTTAGAAATGAGAGAATAACCAATATTGACTTAACTGTCAACAAGTCCTTTCTTTCCTCACATTGACTTGCGAAATTATTGCATATTATGCAAATATATAGCAGTTGATTGTCAAATGTGAGAAAGTTGATACTTAACTTAGTCTAAGGAGGAAATCTAAAAACAATCAAAGGAAATACTAAACTAGATTAGTAATTTTGAAACCGTGTTGTTATTTGTTTCTTTTTTTTAACTCTATGTAGTGCAACCACTCAACCACTTCACAAATTTTCATCTTAATTTTTATTCGGTTCAGTTGACTGAACTGAATAAAAATTAAGATGAAAAATGCGAAGTGGTTGAGTGGTTGCACTACATAGTGTTTAAAAAAAAGAAATACTAAACTTTCAAATTGACTTTGCTTAGTGTTCATCAGCCAGCTATGATACCTTTCATGTGTCATCGCTACCAAACAAATGGTTACCTGATCAAATTCTCACACTTAATGTGGATATAACGCAACCGCACCTGATCACTCCCAAAGGAATACCCTTTTGCCTTGTGAAGTGTATAGGTGACTTCCAGCATGTATTTCCCCAGTTCTTCGCTCCTTCACTCCCTACTGATTGTCCATCCAACAGATCATATCGCCAACCTCCAATACAACTGAATCAGGAACCAACGGCCAGCTGTACGAGGTAGAATTAGAATACAGTGGAACCTCGCATAACGAGCAAAATAAATTTAAAAAATCGACTCACTTAACGAGCAAAATTTCGCATAACAAGTGAAAAGGAGAGGGGAAGTCCTGGATTGTGTGCATGCTCCATCAGTCTGTGTTTAGCACTTGTTACGCTAGCGTCTTAGAGTCACTTGTGATTAGGGGCAGATATAGGTTTTTCAGGGCCTAGGGCTTATTGAAGTCCAGTGGGGCTTCATTTTTTTGTTAGATTAAGAAATCAATTGATCACAATAAAAAAAATAATACTTTAAATTATCATTATTATTATATTATTAATATTAACTGTTTTTACTATATGATAAGTGCTCATTGTTAATGAAAAAGTATTAAAAATTTATAATAATAACACAATTTTTGTGGGCTCTTGACACTTGAGGGCCCAGAGCTTAAGCCCTATTAGTCCCTATGTAGATCGCCTCTGCTTGTGATCACACATTTTTCCAAACTTGTGTTCAAACATGGTACGTATAAACATCAATAGCCATAGCCCATTATATAATAAACATGCTGCACAATATACCAAATTCTTGGGCTATGTAAAGGATATAATTAAATATTATAAATTAATTAATTTGACTATATGTAAGCAGTTATGATGCCATCTCATATTAAATTTAATGACCAATTAGAAATGTCTAAATTAAAAATTAACCATTTATAATTATTAAATTTCATTTGGGATGGAAGCATAACTGCCTACCTCTAGTCAAATTAATTAATTTATAATATTTAATTATATCCTTTACATAACCCAAGAATTTTGCATATTGTTGGTGTGTTTATCAGATATATTAACTGTGATTTTTTTTCTTCTTCAAATTGAATTTACATTCTGGGTTGGTTCATTCTGTGCTAGAAGAAAAGATTATGATGATTCATGCTCCTTAACAATGTTTATTGTACAATTTTCTTTGAATAAACGTTATACATAAAATATTTGAGTTTTTTTTTTTTTTCGGCATGGAATGCATTATCATATTTTACATTAATTTATATGGGAAAAATTGTTTCAGTTAATGAGTGTTTTGCATTATGAGTAAGATTCTGGTACAAATTATGCTCATTAAGCGAGGTTCCACTGTACTTTTAATTATGCTTGTAAACTCTCTCTCTCTCTCTCAATTAGAAGTAGATAGTATGAGGGAACAATATCTTTTTTTACTATTGAACACAAGACTGTGTTATTATTAAAACGCTTGGCGTTTATCCACTTTATTCAGTTGACACGGATGGTAGCTTCGCACCACTGGCCACTCGACCGAGCTTTGAGTTAGATATACTGTATATTAAATTGTTTTATTTTGTTAAACATGGCATTGACTCAATTATTCAGAACTTGGACCTCTATAGACTTGCCCACAGTTCTTCCCCACTCGATATTTTAAAAGTCCTCCAGTAATCACTATAAACACGAAAATTGTGAGTTAAGACACATTATTTCTTAACTGGTGTCAGTCCTGACAGGAGAGGGAAATTTTAAGATTTCCCCACCTCTGACCATAAACAAATGGATACAGCCATCTAGTGACAACATGAGCGGATCTTGTCAATCCATCACCGATCAAAGGGGTTTAGAGGTGAACGCTCTACCCCTGGCTTCTCACAGTACATTGGGCTTTGTGATGTTTATAAATATAAGAGTATACTGTAAGTAAAATGAGAAAGCAATTAAAACAGAGCATTGATAGAATAAAAATGCATGAGTAAATTAGTAAAGGATGAAGATAAACAATTTGCACACACACTTTTATTTTTAATGTGAAATAGTTACCAGTTACTCACTCTGTATATAATATAATATTTAATTATAATGAAATTTTAAATGATATAATGTAAGAAACAAATCATAATAAAAGTATTATAATAATATTAATCATCATAAAGATTGGTTGGCTCTTATCTAGATGTTTCAATAACAAAATGATAATTCAGAATAATAAACATTAAAATCTAAAAATTTAAAAATCATGAGACTTAATCTACAGTTGATAACTAAATTCTTAAATAATATCTAAAGTTTAGATGAGGTTTGTTTGTTGATTTGATATTTATTTTATCAATTATGTAGTTAATTGTGTTATACAGTTGAATCTCTCTAAAGATACCCATTACAATGATAAACCCCAGTACACCAATACACCTTCCATGGTTCCAGCGGAAGTTGTATACAAATACTATAATTTATCACCCAATACGACAGTACAGCTACAGGTGGGAATTGGCACGACCCACGATTGATTTGATTGCTTTCTTGCAGTTGACCAATACAGGAACCATAAAGCAAAGAGCTAGGAGTGTCTACTTATTAACCTCCTTGTGTAACTACAGACTCTCCTTGTGTTCAAGAATGGTTTACTCACAACTAGCTAATTGGCTGCATTGCAATGTCATCACTGCCTCAGTCAATGACACTATGAGGAACTGCAAGTGTCCGACTAATTGTGAAGGGTTTTCTTTTCCTACCAGACAAGCAGTATTAGTGTGTAGTGGGTAAAAATGATGAAAGTATGGAAACAGATAAGTTTGGAAATGAAACTAGAAACTTTCAAAGATGCTGATAGCAAAATGAAACAAACATAAGTTGCAAGGAATTATGGCTTTGATAAAACAATCTTAGCAACATTTTTAAAGAAATGGGAAGAAATCGAGTGCAGCATAATGGGTGGAACTTGGATCTTTTTTAGAAATGTCCGAAGGCACATAACTGCAATGACGTCAATGGTACAACATTCCTTTGGTTTACTGAAATTTTGGCACAGAATACATTTAATCTAATCTTTACTTTCTTAATTATCTTGGTTCTTAAATTTCAAGACCTTGCTATAACAATAACCCTGGTATACCAATACTATTTTTTGTATCCTCAAAATATTTTTGTAGTGAGGTTCAACTGTATTTAATGATTTTAATTAATTAACTTTGTTTCATCGTGTAACGAAAATATATATATTGGTCTAAGTGAATTTGATATTTAGTTTTTTTTTTTTTAATAATATTTAATTGGGAATAAATGAATAACGATAATAATAATTTACTTAATTAACAAAATATGTATCTATTAGGTACTATGCAACACTCAAAAAGCAAGAAGAAGATAAATTGGCGGAATTATCCCGTAAATACAGAGATAGAGTAAGTTTTTCTTTTGTAAATAATTTAATTATCGGCCAGTAAACTACCATTTAAGCAACTGGTTTTTAAACTATAAATTGATATTACTTGATACATTTCTTTTTTAACCAGTTGTTAGGTCTAACTAAATCATATGACAAAATAAGTAGTTTTTGCTTCATTTTTTATTAAAATTTTTGTTCCAGTTTTAAGATAAAAGAAATTATGTATTTTTTCCATGAAATGCCTGTTAAATTTTGTATAAATAAATTTGTTTTTAAAATTCAAAAACAGTGGCCAAAACCCATTAGCAACTACTACATTTAAATAGTCATTTGTTGGCATTTTCACTATATATCTAGGGACATCCTGATACTACCAATACTGTATTGCTACTTTCCTTTGATACTAAGTACTGTTAGTACTCAATACTTTTGGTCAGATATCGATACTGATACTTATTCTGGTATCTGGTATCTTTACATTTTTCTTATACAGGTACAATCTGATTCAAATTGGATTTTGTAGCCAAATCAAAACCAATTTGGGTTTTAAAGTCAGTTTTGGACAAAACCAAAACCGAGTCTAACACTATTTTTGGTCAAGTTAAACTTATATACAAGAACAGAGTCGAGGAGTCAAATCTTATGGGAATCGATTTTAAAAAATATCAAGTCGTGAGTCATGTACTTTTCTGCTGACTCTCCATTCCTTCTTACATAGTAAATATTAATTAATGACCAATAATCTATAAATTTATTGTATCAAATTTCATTTTCAGAATGTATATACAGTATGCTTAGAGTTCAAATTACTATTTATAAATAATTTGCCAATTACTTGAAAAACTTGAAATATATTGACGTCTCAAATCAATCAGTACTGTATTGGCAACATTTAGTTTTTTTTTAGAAATCAATTTTAATCATTTGTTATTAATAATAATTAACTAGAATAAAACATTTTATATATGTTAAACTTAAAAGTTTCAATTACACAAAATGTTTCAAAATCAAGCCACAGACTGAATGGCAATAGCTGGCAAGATTTGCAGTATCAGAAAGTCTCTATATATATCTAATTTATCTAAATTTATATTACAAAAATTAGTAAGTAGTTTAAAGTGATGGGTTATACTTCAGTAAACAAAATTTCTATATTTTATAGGCCAAAAATTCTCCTAAAACATATTGTTTGATAATTTGTAAAGCATTATTTTATAATAAAACAGTTTTGTTATTTAGCTGATTAGAATCTATCTGGAAGCAAAAATTAATTAATTTATTTATTTTTTAATTATTAATTAACAGATATTTTTAAATTATAAACATAAAAATAATATATTATCTGTGCATAAAGTAAAAAACTAAAATAAAATTCCAAGAAGGGCTTAATCTGAATAAATATCTTGATTACTTTAACTGCTTTCAAGCTTCTTTTTGTATGTTTACTTACATCTGTGGAGTTTTCTTTTCCAGTTTTGAGTTAGAAAATTTACAGTAGTAGCTCCATATTTGCACATTTAACATGTACAAAGCTTAGTATTCTCGGCCATTTTTACTTTCCCGGCTGTTATACATAACAGAGGGAAAGTATAGTGATCGGTCAAAAAATGACTCCCCAAGATTTTTACATTGTTTGACTCAGAACCTTGAAACATCATAAATTTGGGATTTTTTCTGTATGTATGGATGTATAAATAAATAAATTGCTTTATTAAAACATGATTTTATTTTTTTCAATATATTTGAGTATATAATTCAGTATAATACGGAGCTTCTACTGTATATACTTCTATTTCCATTATATATTTATTTTACAAACTATTTACAATTTTAATTTTAATTTTACTTAACATCTGTTACAGGCTAGAGAAAGAAGAGAGGGAGCTAATCCCGATTATCAAAATGAAGATCCTATTACATCGACAGCAGGATACAGAGCTGTTGCGCCAGATGCAAAATCGTAGGAAAATTTCACATCTATAATAAACTTTTTATTAATATGCATTAATTAATATAAACGGGATCAAAGCTACATTATCTTATGTAACTCATTAGTTCCCAAATATGACTCATTCGACCGTAGCAGTCTACTTTTAAACTCCATTTTTCATTCATATACATGCAGAAGTGATAAACAAGTATTCCCGTGTTGCTTCTTTTTTATTCTTCAGTGAACATATGCAGGTTCTCGCCTTCACTATCCAAAAACAAATAACTGTGCAATGTTCTTGCCAGTGCATTCTTTGATGAGAGAATCTTTAATCTAGTCTGGAGACACTACACATGCAATATTTGCAGTCTACTTGCATACACTTTTGTTATCAGGGTACGAGTGTGTAAAATATTTGCATAACTGTGGTCCATGGTGCAATTTTGATTTTTGAGGGTAAAATTAAGGTTACTGACTTGCCTGTGTAGATTGATTTTTAAATTTATATATTTATGTAAGTAAATGAAACTGAATTAAAAATTTGTTTCTTTGAGCTTCAAAATTTATTACTTTCTGCTTTATTTGAAGGTCTTCTAGTGGTTTGCTGTAGATCCCAGTGTCGGCACCTGCAGCAAACCAATGGGACACTTGCCCTTTTCTGGAATCAGGTTTAAAGTTCCACAAATTAAAATCATAAAAGTGGTTATGATATGTAACCTTATACCCTCATTATGGGACATTTTGTGTGTGTTAAAATTTTATTACAGGTTACAGTTTTGGCTCTTGGCATCTAAAAACTTAAATAATTAAATAAAAATTTATTGATTTTTACCCCCTAGAAAATTTTCTACGGATGCCCATACTTCCATGCTTTAAAAGTACATGATATCTTTTCTAATGATTATTTAAGATTTTTCTGAGGTGTATGCTTAATGGGTTGAAAAGCATGAAAGTATAGAGAACTTTCATCATAATGAAACATAAGATAGCAAACAACCTTACAATCTTAGACAAAGAACATAAATAACGGATGCTTTTCATTTTCAGTGGTTTGGATGCAGCTGAAAGAAGGCGTCAGATGATTCAAGAATCTAAATTTTTGGGTGGTGACATGGAGCACACCCATTTGGTGAAGGGTTTGGATTATGCTTTGTTACAAAAGGTATGTTACATTTAAAATTCTAAGGAAAAATAATTTGTTTTTATCAACATTTAGTCTTAAAATTTTCAAACACTTTTAATTCTAGAGATTTTTGACAATTTAAACTGTTAAATGTGTTTTTAAACTATTTGAAAGAACATAAATTTTTACATATAAAGTGTTTCAAACAATTAGACACCTCTACAGACAACCACACAACAAATCCCAACACACAATATAGCAGAATGGCATATCAACAGAATATTTTTCTGTTGACATCAAACTATTGGTTTGCTCTTGCACACAGGCAAAGTAAATTGGATCAAAGAGGAAGAAGAAAACGGCATCAGACACCAATCATGCCATATTAAGATAAATATATACAACATTCAGCACTCAGTACAAAGAATACAGTTGGAAGTCACCTGATGAGGACAACATTCACAATTTCTGGTACAAAAAATTTACATTTCTGCTCCTGTTGTTGTTTGATGGCGAGTTAAGATAAATTTTATAAATATTTTGCTAAGTTTGGATTCATAAATCTTAATTTTTCCATTATTTACATTATTAAGAATCAGTAAGTAACCAAGCATTTTACGCACACAATCAAAAAGACCATATTTCCTCAATTCAAAGACATTCCATAAGTTTTGCATAGAATTTTAAGATTTTATACGGAGGAAAACATTTTTAAATAATTGATTTTATTAAGTTTATTTAAATAACAGAAGTTAAAAACAACACAAAAATTTTGGAAGAAATTATGTTTGGCAGATCTATTTTCTTGTTTTTCTGCATGTAAAGTAATTGCTCATTTTAATGCTGCATTACATTGTCATCTCAGAGGTGTTTTAAACATTACCAATAAAAAAAATTGATGTTTGCATTAAATGCTTGTTACCAGCAAAGTTTAACTGGTGTGACTAGAGTAAGATAATCAACAGCATCTGTTGTTGGTACAAATGTCACGTGTCCACTTACAATGTAAGAGGCACTCAGTTGTAAATAGTAAGATGCATTGGCATGTCTTAGAATTCAGAAAGTAGGATCTAATATGTTTTCATTTACAATTAATTTATTACTGTTATATTACTAAAGGTAAGAAGTGAAATTACAAGTAAAGAAAAAGAAGAAGAAGAATTAGAAAGAGTTCTCTTAAAACATCAGTAAGTAAATAAATAATTTCTGTAAGAAAATTTTTATTATTCCAAATGTTTATTCAATTAATGATTAAAGTCATGTAATTTCTTCTTTGTTTTTAATTGAAATATATTATTGCTCTCAAAACAGATGAATTGTCATCATTTTTTTTCAAATGATTTAGGCACAGAACAGGAATTAAATTATGTATCCATCCTATTTATCTAAATTAAAAGGCTATTAATTGTAATTACAGTAGAGCGTCGTTTATCCGAATCAATTGGGGACTGGGGTTGTTCGGATAACTTATTTTTCGGATAACTGATTATGTACGAAAAAATATATTAACCTATTTCATCCTGAAATTTTTCTCCGTTGCGTGTCGCTTTGCGTTGAATTTTCGTCGATGTTAAGCCTAACGTAAACTTTTTAAAATAATATTCGTGGCTATTGTATCGTTAAAAATTATTTTTTTATTTTGTACAAACAAAATAAATATATTGAAAAATATAAAAACCAAAAAACTATACTTTAGAAGTTGATCTAGTATCAAAAACGTTCGATTCAGCACCACACACGTCCTCAGAAAAACACCACACAAAAGTGCTAGTGCTGCCAGCTAAAACACACACACCAACAAAAAAAAATATTGGAGTAGCCCAAGATATAGCCAAAGATTGCAGCGCCACAGCACTAGCGAAAATTTAAATTTGCTGACTGGAATTCTTTCGGATAACCGACTTTCAGATAAACGACGCTCTACTGTATTGGTATATTATTTTAATGTTAGTCTGTAAATGCTATAAAACTAAAACTATTTGCCAAATTAAAAAAAAAATTTTTTTTTCAATTTCAAAACACACTAAAGTTAATTAAATACAAGACCTTAAAACACAAGTCCAATTCATTTTGTGCCAGTAATTAAATGCTATAAAACTAAAACTATTTGCCAAATTAAAAAAAAAAATTTTTTTTCAATTTCAAAACACACTAAAGTTAATTAAATACAAGACCTTAAAACACAAGTCCAATTCATTTTGTGCCAGTAATTAAAATTAATAACCTTATAATTGTAATTGTTAGTATATTACAATTAAAAATACAGTTCAGCTTATATTTTGATTATTGAGTAGAATTAAAAATTATGATTTCATGTGAAATTCGTAGATTTTGAATGAATTCATTTCAAGTAAAATATAAAATTATTATTATTTTTTAAAATAAAGCCTGAAGTAATCATTTGTTATATGCAATGTTATGTATGAATTCTTCAAAAAACTGAAAGTATATTGGCCCATGTGTAAACTGTTATAAAAACTGAATACTTATGAAAGAAAAATTGTTTTTATGAATAAAAAGAATAATGAAATGATTGTTAATTTGTGTTTGAAAACTAAAAAGAAATTTTGAAATTTGTTTATCGATTTGTTGATGTTTCATTAGAAATGGAAAAATTTATGATTGGAGAGGAAGGTAAAGCATGTGTTCTATGAATTAATGATGCAATAATTTGCAGTATGTATATTTTACCTTCTCTCCAGAACTTTAGAATTGAGGTGAGCTATTACAATAAAACTTCCATATAAGTGTTCTGTAAGTCTGGAATTATAGAAATTATATAGATCTTTGTTTATTATTTTATAGATGCCAAGAGAAATGAATTCAAGTTATTTTGATGGTAGGGTGCAAGAAGTTGTCATTCAGACTGCCATGTGTGATTTGTAGAAAGTTTGATTTGCAGACTGTTAAACTCTTTGGTGACTTCACTCTGACTGAGAGCTTCTGTCATCAAAATAACTTTATTCCTTCTTACTCAGCAATCTTCATTGTTTTGATTAAGCAAAGATCAACATAACTCCTCTGAATCCAGACTTGGACATCCTTTATAATTAATTTGGCCATTTATTATAGAATTTATCTTTGTTAAAAAACAATATTTATTGTCAGGAGTTGATAACTTCATCACCAAGCCATGATACCAATAAATAATTATTTTTTTTTAATTCTAAAAGTTAAATTAATTAAATGCTAATGTAGAGTGAAACAAGTTACTTCTACATTTTTTGATACATCTTTAATTTTATTCTCATATATTTCACACTTACAAAGGTTGCTCTCATTTAGTCACATAGTTTTAAGTGTCATAAACTAATTAAACATTGGAAATCTTAAACAATTCTGTCAATAAAAAATCTATAATAAAACATTATTATAAGTTTAGAAGTTTGATGTTTATCCTGCTTTTAATATCTTTAAACTTTAATAGCTGGAGGTAGATTGTTAACAGTTCATAAAAAAGATGAAATTAATAGATAATCTGAAGATTTTAAACAAAATAAACAGTTGAATTTGGTTAAAGATTACTGCTATTTTAAAGATGTGCATTTTTAAAATTAATAACAGCAAGTTCAACTCAACAGAACAGTTAAAATAAAATTAAATTTAATAATTATTATTAATTATTATTGCCATACTGTCCTTATTCAATTTATTATATATTTGTCAGCATGGACATTAATCATTAACAGGACAATTATACTGGTGTTAAGCATTTACACAAGAATGTGGAAATGTTTTTAGAGAAAACAGACTTTCTTTATTAAGCTGCTTTAAATTTAATAATTTCTCATGTATATTTATATTACTTTTAATTAATCAATATTCTGACTTTAGTCAACTAATATAATGTTAATTTTGATACATTTTAACTAAAGATATGTTGTTGATTATATAAGTTTCACATGAGTGTGCATTTGATTCTAATATCTGTGCTTTAAATATTCAGAGATAAAGAAGAAGAGGAAGAAATTATGTTCAGAACAAAAATGGGTAAGTAATAAATATATATTAATAAAATTATTTATAGTTTTACAAATTAACTAAGTAGAATTTTATTATGTTGTATTTAGGGAGAAATATATATCGCTGCTTGTTTAAAAGTAAGCATCCCGAGAAGAACGAATTGTTTTTACCGAGTCGCATGGCTTACATCATCGATTTAGAGGATGACTACACCGAAAGCGATATCCCGACCACTCTCATTCGTAGTAAAGCTGACTGTCCCAGTTTTGAGGTAACAAAAAATTTATAAGAAAACATTTTAGAATTTTAATGGCACAAGTATCCGAGCATAATAAAAAAAAATATATTTTTTATTTACTTAAATGCAGTCTCAGACAACTTTGACGACTAATGACATTGTCATCAACAAGTTGACACAAATTTTGTCCTATTTAAGACAAGGATTAGCTAATAAACGAGCTAAGAAGAAAGATAAGGGTAAAATGAAAGAAGAAGAAAAAGGAAAATCGAAGCCTGCTGATGACAGGTGAGTAAATTATTAAGAACATATATAAATATTAACAATAAAAGACTTAAAAGAACACTATTCAAAACAGTTATGGGATAATATAATAATGGGAGTATTTCACAAGAAAATAGGAATATTACATTGAATAAAATTTAAATAAAATAGAACTTATTAAACACATGCTGGTGGTTGCATTCATAAAAGAATAAAATGAAATTAAGATAAAATACAAAACAATATAACAGTGTTTAAATAAAGTATTGATACATATATAAGGTATAAGTATGAATAAAAATACAAATATAAAATCATAAATAAGATGTTAAGGCATGTCTTAATTTTTAGCAGTAAAATTTTAAAAGTAGAATAATAATTTTGAATTTAATATGAAGCTGTCTAATATATCTAGTTAATTTATTTGATTTTATTTAATTTGATGCGATAATTTATCTTTTAATATTGAAGCATCATGAAATGAGACATTAATTGATTAAAATATTAAATTCTTACAATTTTCACATAGTAATATGAACAGTTCTGAGTCTTTTATGAAATATTTGGATTATAATTTTGCAGATAAGTTTATTATTATTTGTATAATTGTCATTAAATGTATAATTTAAAATTTTACAGCATTTACGGAGAAATTGGCGATTACGTTCCTTCGACCGAAAGAAGGGAGAGGGATCGAGATAGAGAAAAAAATAGAGATAAGAAACGTTCTTATTTTGAAAAACCAAGTAATGAGGTTAGTAAGTTTTAAACTAAATAGGATAAATAATACTTTAATATGCATTATTATTATTATTATTAGTATTAATTAATTAATTATTTTATAACATTTTTATTAATTGTAATGATTGATTTATTTTGTTTATTTAATGAAAATTTATAAACCAAGAGCTTGAGTATTCATATAATTTTTTTTTTTAATCAAATTTATATATAATAAATCTTTATTGTTTTTAGACTTGAAAATCAGCTGAAATGAGCTATTTCCAGTTTTTATACCAATAAAAATCATTATTAAATAACTAAACAGTTTGCTATATTATCTTTCTTTCCCTTTTTTTGTTATTTGATTATTACTTTACCTATAATGATTATTTTGTACATTTTTAGCATCTATAATTCATAAATTTTTAAATATGATAGTCAAAGTGAAAATATTTGATAAACAATTATTCTGCTTCTTATTTGTGTTATGTTAGTTAAAGTAAATTATGAAAGAAGCAATAATTAGTTTATTCATTAAGCTTGGTTTATGCTGTTGTACGAACTGCCTGGATGAACGAGACAAACACTAATCAAGACATGTCTACATTATAATATGACACAAGTAAGCAAGAAGAAATGCTAGTTGTAAAAACTTGATTGGTATAACAAATTGAAGTTTGGCAAAAGTAGAAGTATTTTCAACTCTTAACAAACTGGTCAACCACTTGTAGAGAAGGGACAAACTGAGAATTCGTATCTACTTCATAGCAGTTCATATGACAATGTGAATCTAGCTTCACAGAAATATATTATACTTTTATTACATATAATTTTAAAATAATTTCAGGATGAAAGAGATAGAATCAGAGACAAAGAGAGAGATAAAGTAAGTAATTACTTTTTAAATTTGGAAAAATTCAAAGATTAAAAAGTTACCAAAACTGCACTAAACAAATAAATCACTAAAATCTGCTTATAAAGTTACAAAAGTATAATATAATTTGTTTATTCTGTTGAAGTTTAAATAGATTTGTTTAGCTAATGTGGAAGTAATTTTCAATAATCTTAATAGTGAGGTTGAGGTCAAAGTTTTAAATGTGAAAACATGTATGTTGGACGTTTTCGCATTTAAAAGTTCAGTCTCAACCTCACTAATAAATGACAGATGTGAACAGATATAAATAAAATAAACAAACATGGTTTTTCTTTACTGTTGAGGTTATCTCAGGTTAATTTTTGAGTTTTATTTACTTGGAAATTAATTTAAAATATCGTAAGCAGTGGGGAGAATTATGTTTGTTTGTAGTTAGTTACATTTTTTAACTCTGTCCTGTGGGCACTAAGGGGGTTCCTTCTAGTAAGTCCATTATGGGTTTGGCCAGGCACATAATGGAATGACCAGGTGGTGAGAGATGGGGCCTGACATATCCAAATAGATCATCTCCCCAAAAAATTCCTGGATATTTTTAACCTGTCTAGATTCAATCTTGTTTTCCCCAGAGCTTAATTTCTTGGCCATTATAGTAATTTATATGACTTGCATTCAACAAAAGGAAATTATGTAACTTGAAGGTGTTGAGCATCTGTAATAGTTCACATTGTTCTATTTATAGAATGTTTAGTGAAAATGTCCCGTTATTACTAACCTATATTCTTATAAAAATATAATTTATTATATATTAAAATATATAAAAATAATTCTAGCATTGAATTTAATGAATAATTTTATATTTTCAGGATTCAAGATTATCCGGGTGGGGATCATCAGATCTAAAGTATTTTTTATTATGTTTTTTTGCATTTATATTTTTATTTGTAAATACTTAATCTTCATTTACTTAATTTTTATAATTAAATTTTTTTTTATATATTTGAATCTTTAATGTTGATTTTTTTTGTATGTTTTAAAAATTTTTAATTGTTTTTACTACTAATTTATGTAATTTTTTTTGCCCCTTTTTTAATAATTAGATTAATTTAAAACAAAAAATTTTCATAAATTTATTGGATAAGGTAAGAAAAATGTTCCTTGTTTAAAGAAGAATATAGTCACAAATTCAAAAATTCTTAATTTAAAATTATACATTACACAGTTTATAATATAAACCTTTATGCTAAACCTTACTCAACTTTACTCTTATCTTATCTTTTACATAAATCTACAGTATAAACTCATCTAAAGGAGGATTGGAATATTTAAATTGAAACTGTAATAAGTAAATATAGTGTAGCCAAAAAGTCACTTGCAAAACAAGGAAAGAGGACATATTGCAAATTACAAACAAAAGACAAACTGTAAATGACTTTAACAATGTTTGATACAGTCAGTGTGACAGTCAAGTTGAGACTGGTGTGAGTACGGAATGTTGTATACTATAATACTTACAATTCTAGTGTTCAAAGAGTTATCCACACACTCAAATACAATGTTGTACACAATACAGAACTTCACATATCACTGCTGCATGAGGTGGTATGTGATGTCCTGCATCATGTCTGTGAAGAACGATACCAAGTCACTGTTGCCTCCAAAACAATAAGAACAACAATTGCTTAATTTGACAAGTGAATTTTTGGTCAAACTGTGAAGAAATATTACTGTACTGGACAAATTTGGAACATTCAAATTCCTTGGAAATGTGAATTTATACAAATTTTCTCATATTAATTCAGTTTTAATGCTAAATTTATTGGAAAGTTAATTATCAATATAAAATAATAACTAATTTGCTACTTTTTGATAAAATATTATTTGTTTCAAACAATTGGACTTAAAATCCAATCTGAACTTGTATATTTTATCATATTGTTTAGATTGGGCCTCAATTTCTATACATTATCTACACTGACCAACTGCACAAATTAAACAGACTCACATAACTGTGTAGCAACTACTTTCATTTTACACAAAGAACTCAAAAACAAATCAGTTATTAACTGTTTGTAAACATTTTAATAGAAAAACAATTTAGTCATTTTTGCTGTTGTACATCATACTTTCATTTTTATTAATGTTTATATTCCTAAATGTTATGAAAAGTGATAATTTGAATGTGTAAAATTCATAACAGCATAAAATCAAAAATGATTAATAATAATTATACTTACCCAGAATTTTAAAGATTCAAAATTAAATGAGAAAAAGTTTTCGAATTTGTGGCCATTTCTTCACTAAACATAACATGGTTAGTTAATTCCAAATGTTTTGCAGGTTAGAACATGATTCGGAAAGAGGCGAGAAAAGAAGGTAATATTTTTATAATTTTGCTTTTTTTCCCCCAATTAAATGTATATTGTTTTTAATCATACAATGAATTTTGTAGTTTGGGTTCAGCATTCAAAACAGACGATCGTCGGCTGAAAGCAAAATTAACCAGTAAATTGGAAAGAGATATGCCCGAGAGTTACGCCGAGTGCTATCCTGGGTAAGTGAATTGAAGATAAATATATACACACACATACACAGTCAACCCTCAATTAATTGGATTCCAGTTTAATAATGGAGCCCAAAACACACAAAGGTTAATGCCACATTGTTTAGGTTACTATTTTAACACTTGTTTTTTACATCAAGTTTTATACGCAGTAATTTTATTGTTTATCTACTAACTTTTTGATTTTTGTATTCATTATTATTTAGACACCTCTAGAAAAATAAGAGACAATCAAAAATTAAAGATGTTCTTGCATTATTATTCTAATATTATATATTATATATATAATCTATACTAATATTATAAAGAGGTAATGTTTGTAAGTATGTAAGTAAGTTTGTATGCAGCAGGTAATCTCCAAAACTACTCATCCGATTTCAAAAATTATTTTACCAATATTTAGAATGGAACCTCGGTGGACATAGGCTGTATATTATTCCGTTAAACATTTATATCAATTAAAAGATATCATCTAGGTTAAGGCTTTTATGTCCAACAGATGGCGCTACGAGTACGACGCCCTAAGTTTGCTTTTCTGTGAAAATGAACTAAAGCAGATCATCATCTATCTATCTATATAAATAAAAATGTAATGTTCGTTTGTTCATACTGATTCCTTTGAAATTTTGACACAACGCTGCATTCGAATATGCACGTGTTTTTATATAATATACATGTTGAAATTCAACCGAAGGGAGATGGTTAGGATTAAGGCTTACGGTAAAGAACTCTGCTTCTATTTATACTATTTTAGATGCGGGTTTTTGCGTTTTTGATTGCATTTTAATAGGGTACGTCAAGAGAATGTACACTAAGAAGAAATTTTTCAAAAAATCCCCCTCTGGGGGAAGTGTTATAAATTTATAATAGATACATTTTGAGCTACAACAATGCGTGGCAGGGTCTGCTAGTATAATATAAACATCTTAAAAATATAAATTTGCTACTCTGATATTTTTTGGAATAAGTTTTAATTAAAAGGTATTGCATACCGTGCATGATAAAGCATAACTTTATATATATAAATTAATGGAATTTTTATTAAATAATACTCAATCAATTCTATAAAGTCCAGACAGTTTGAGATGAAAATTTTTGAATCAAAGATTTTTTATTTGTTTTTAATTATGTAAATGTCTTGATTTTCAATGCTAGTAGATTAATAAAAAGAGCAGTTAATAAATTTAATAGTCAAAATAAATTTTCCTAGATGATTTTTTTCTATACAATAGACATACGAATTTTTTTCATATTCTTTTCTATTCAAACAATATAAATTGGGTCTTAAATTATCTGAGAAGAAGGCCAGAGTTTAATCAAATGAATTAATACAAGAGTTTTCTAGTAAAAGTGTATTTTACTTAGACATTGTTGCTTTAGTTTCAGTTTAACATTCTTTTTATATATATGTCAATCGGGAGGAGTTTAGAGGGTGTTGAATATGAATTTGAAACAATTCATGGTATCTCTGTGACAGTATATAGCAGTATTTTTCAACCTTTTTTCATCATGGCATACTTGAACCTGTAATTAAATTTCCGTGGCCAAAATTTCCTCAGAATAAATCACGTAATTTAAAGTTTTGTTTGTAAACATTCTATCATCACATTACTTTCCACTTAACCTAATTCTTTTTGTCTATATTTTTGAGAATTACATAAAACAGTATTGTTCATCCTTAAAAGAGCAGCAGGTTACAACAATAGTTATTTAAATTAATAATTTTCATTTACATAAGAGAAGCAATTAACATTAAGTCTTGATTTGCATTTAAAAGTGGCACGATAACTGTCTTTAGAAACCTTTCCAATGTCCCACTGTTTCTATGTTAAAATAATTTGAACTAAATATGGGCAATTATAGATACATTTTTGATTTCAAGAAAATTTCCATTTAAATGAAATAACCCAGTGTTATGCACATATAATTTTGCTTATGAATATATATTTTCTACTACATTACATATACGTTTATTTATTATAACAATGGAAAACTCGTGTAATTAATTTAAAGGGGTTATAATTTTGTACACTTATTGTTGTTTAAACTTCTTTCGAAAATAACTTGTTTCATAACCTTCAAAAATTTTCTTGGCACACCTATGATTCTCTTGTGGCACACCGATTGAAAATTACTGGTATATAGGGTGTTTAATAAAATCCTTATGCATTCACGTAACTGACAAATGCAAATACTTACAGTTATGAATGTGATATATAGTTATAGACTGTGTGCTACAAGATGAGACTCTTACAGTCCTCCTAGCAGGAAAATTTGGAAGTTAGTACGTCTGTCTTGAAAACAATGCATGTTACAGAAAGAAAGTCACTTATAAAGTTGTAGAGCATAGCTAATTTAGTACTGAAGGACACACTGAAGGATTTCTCAGTACTCAATTACTGTCAATGCCACATCACTAATCACATCACGGTACATGGGAAGTGAAACTGAGTGTTAGATATGGACATGGCAAATTATTGTAATGAATAACAAGAAACTTCGGTCCAGATGCAAATGTGTATTTCCTATTTTGTTTCTGTTTCTCGCAATTTGATGCTTTGTGATGTGATTCTTTAAATCTTTTGTTAAAAATTGAACAAATTAAATAATAATTGTTTTTGGACAATAAAATTTATTTCAATGAGCCAATACATTTAAACTTCTTAAATATTGTTAAAATTATGATTATTACTGGGAATTATATATTAATTTTTCATTATATTATTATTAAATTTTTAAAAACTAAAAAACTAAATTTTGTTTAGTGCACCAGAAAACGAAGATGCCGTTGCAGATAGTGATGATGAAGTCGATTATTCAAAAATGGACATGGTGAGAATGTTTTACATTTTAGATCTTTCGTATTAATAAATACTATTTTGTTGTTTTACTATAAAAAGTTTTATTTTTTTGATCGATTCTTAAACATTAATTTGTATACTGATAATTTATTTATAAATTAAAGAAGCTATATTTTATTGTAATTAACAGGGAAACAAGAAAGGACCCATTGGTAGATGGGATTTTGACACTCAGGAAGAATACAGTGAATATATGAGTAATAAAGAAGCTCTACCCAAGTAAGAATATTTTAATTTTTTGTTCACTTCACTATTGTAATACATTTTTTGATATTTATAAATACTTTTATTACATATGGGGTGTTTGGAAAGTCACTGTACACTTATATATTTATTAACAGACATGTTTCAATATAGCATACAGGAAGTAAATATGAATGACAACTATAAACAATGTTGAAAGTGTCACCCGTTAGCATCAATACAGGCTTGAATCCTTCTTATTTTGTTTGTAAACATCACTATTGATTGCTCGAATGAATGCCATTATCACCACTTTCGAGTCATCCGGCATGTGCAGACGATCTTGATACACTGCAGATTTTGCTGCTCCCCATAGATAAAAGTGTGGTGGCTTTAGATCTGGTGAGCTGCACGTCTTTTGAAATAATGCGAAAATATGATCAGAAAAGTGCATGTGACTTTCTGTACACCCCATTTTATAATATAAAATTTAATATAATTATTATTCCACTTTGAAATAATGTCTTTTATCTATATTTATCTTTATTATGCAATGAAGTGCATTCAATAGACACCAGGCTTTACTTTAAATCGTCTTAATTTTGCCGTTTGGGTGCCGATACACGTTTTGTGCACTCTCCCCTCTTCTGTTGGCTCTTTGTTATTCCATATTTAATATCGCATATAAAACACACGGCATTTTTGCCTCTTCAGATATCCACGATCCTTGCAATTCTTGGTGTCAAAATGACACTTTACATTCTCTGTTTTTGTTACACCTTTGTGAGCCAAAGGTGTAACAAAAACAGAGTGTAATTTACAAAGTATGATCAATACCATAACATAAAAATTGCCTAGTTTCAAATTAGTGCAGATACTTGACCCTGAAGATGCAGTATTTGTTTCCTGTGCTTTGTTTTAGTTAGTTTTGTGTTATCTAGGAGGGAGCAAGTGGATTAAAGATGTTCAGGTTAGTCAGGTAGCTGTGTTAATCTGTTAGCCTGGCACTATGGGGAACCAGATTCCAACCTAGTCCAAACCTCCATAATCTGTCGAGGACAATATAGATTGGGATGTCATTTCCCATTCTTCACACTTGCCAGTTATATTGCAAGAAGTTAGAACTATAGTGACAGTAAGCTAAGGTTGGCCTTATAGTTTTTAAGACGAGAATGCCTTCTGTTAAACAATTGAGGACGAGCAGCAGCTTGCAGTAGCTGTTGCCTGTCTAACAACTTAAAAACTGCCGAGTCATTATGTCAAGTGATTTGGCGAGGAAAGGAAAGATCTTTATCACCTGAAAATTCTGACCAAAAAATTTTTAAAATAACATGTTCAATTGCTATGTATTAATAATAGTTTCCAAAATCAGTTATTTAAGTTTTATGCTTAATTTTAATTAGTTATACCCTGTTTTAGTTTTGAAACGAAATTAATGTTAAATTACTTCTTTAAAAATTAGAGCCGCCTTTCAGTACGGCGTAAAAATGGCCGACGGCCGAAAAACCCGGAGAACAGGAACGGGTAAACGAGACGAGAAACAAAAATTGGATCGCGAATTACAGAAAATCAATCAGGTTGGTTAAAATTCCATTTTTATATTTCCACTTACAATTTCTAATTTCGATTATTTTGTCATACTTTGCAGATTATTGCCCGCAGGAAGGCGACAGAAGCGGAAGGACATTCGGCACCAGCTCTGTGAGTGTGGTTCGATTTCATTTTTTAAAATTTTTATTTAAATTAAAAGTTTTATTTATGATTCTGCAAATACAGTTTGTCATATCAAACATGTGTCTCGACAACATAGAAAAATGTTAAATTACAATGGTGTAGATTTTGTTTAGAAAAAGCTTGATTATAAAATTATCAGAAAGTTTGATTTTCAAAAAAAAAAAATGAATAAACCTTTACAAATAAAGGAAAATGTTAGGAAATTAAATCCTTTTTTGATTGGGTTAAGAGGGACAAAATGCAGCTAGGACATACTTTATATGATTACGGACGTTATCAATGTACAGAATTTGTCAAAATGCAGCAGGATAACTTGCAGTTGATGGCGAGAAAAAACCTTTGGGCTACCGTCTTTGTGGATAATCATAAAACAGAAAGTGAAAAATGTTTAATTACACTCACTGAGTAGAAATGGAAGAGCCTTTCTTAAAAAAGAAGAGAGAAGGTTAAAAATTAGAAGACAATAAATAACAGAAATTAATAAACATTTTTTAGACACTTTAGTTACATCATTTGATGTCGTTACACGCAAACTGATTTTAGATTTTTGGATATTAATTTCTTTAGAAATATCAAAGAATTCTACATTTCTCTTAATTAGAAAAGGGATTAAGTAAATTGTTAGATTCTACAAAGATTAATTTTGATTATTGAAATGAATTATTTTGTGAAAATTTTTTTTTTCTAGTTAATCCTATCCTAAATGAGGTAGCACTGATAATGCAACAAATATATCTTCTCTTTTCTTGTCTGTTTGCCACGGTAGCATTGTTTAGCCAGGATTGAGAATGTTAAAGAAGTAACAATGCTCTCTTCTATGCAATTCCTCTAATTCCTCTTTAATCTTGGGGCATTTATATAAATTATTTGATTAAAAAAAAAAAGTATAAAAAGATATGCTTCCATTGCGGCCAAACCCATAATGGGTGACATTAAAAAAAACCGTTTAGTGCCCAAAGGATGGAGTGAATTAAAAACTAAAAATTAAGACCATTTTATTACCTTAGTTTGGATGAGTTTTTTAAATGATTGGTTTTTCTCTTGGTGGAAAACATCATCTAAATGATAATAGTAAAGTGAGAGGTGTTTAGATTTATACTGAATCTCTAGATATACAGGGTAGCCCAAAAGTTGATTAACCGAGATTATATATTACTTTAAGAAATCCAAACTTGGCATGTTACTTAAAATTTCGTCAATTTGGTGCCCTAAATATATCTCAAGTGGCATTCTATACATATGAGAAATTAATGGAGGAGAGACTTATAACATTTGAATATTTTATTCTAATTGGATTAAAATATAAACATCTTTGAGACTTGTAACATTCTAATAATAATTATCTATTTTCAGGGGAGAGACAGAATACAAGAGACCTCGATACTAGAGTCACCATTGTCTGGACCTATTATGTGTATACATCTTTACGTAATGAATGCGTCATTTTGCAAATATATTTAACAGCATTATACTTAGGATTAGTAAGTAATTAAGATTTTAAAAAACAAAGAAAACCTTAACGAATAGTGAATTACACATTAATTAATTAAATACACACAATCAGTTTATAAATTTGCTTTTTTGTTTGATTTATTTTACTTATAAACTGTTCTATACTTGAAATCTTTAGTAATATTTATGATATACACAGAAAGAATTGCACAATGCAATTACCAAAAAGAACAGAAAGAATAGCTTAAATGGAGCATTTAAACTTGTAAATATCAATAGTACGATACACGGATAGTCGAGGCCATAAAAGTATTACACTACCACTACTGAGGACTCGAGTTCGAATCCATATTGGTAATTTTCAAAAGCAGCCGGGGCCCAACCCTCATCTTTTGATCGCTCACCCTCTCGAGGACTGGCGTTTAGAAAAGGCCTCTTGGTGCCCACGGTGCAGGAAGAATTAAGAAAGTAGATACAATATATAGACACATCTTAAAATTAGGTTTTTAGAAGGGAAAATAAAGTCGTTATATCGATATTTTAAGAAAGTAGTCATAAAAATTGAGTGACAAACAATACAAATTTAGATACAGAAACTCATGAGGATATAAATTTTAAAACACGAAAGAATGTGGAAAATACGTAAAAAAGTTAAGAGATTCAAAGACGAAACAGATAAATATTTATGCATGCAACTCTTCGGCATCATTAGATAAATGAATAGACAGACAATTTGCGGTTCCGGAAAAAAGTTTCAGACCATCCGAGTTTTCGAACTTCCTATTAAAATTAACCGATCTCCTGTAAATACGTTGTTTGGATATTAAAATAACCATAAACAAAATATGAAGTAAAAATACATATTTTTTTATATTTAAGAAATTCGTATACAACAAATCATTTGCTTGCAATTTGCCCGGAAAAAAGTTTGCAGCCAGGATCAAAAAAGCACCACAGAAAAAATGTTTAATACTTAATTTGTTTACCATTAACCCGAATAACATTAATTAGTCCATTGGTCGTGGATGGAGTAAGAGTTGCGCCAATTTCATCCCATGCAGTCACAATGGCCTTTTTAATATCAGAAACATTGTTAAATTGTTTTCCATGGACTTAAACCACTCTTACTAAATCACCCCAAAGTTTTCGAAGATCTTATTCGTTATTAGCATTTACAACAATTTACAAAATCTCTCTGTACTCAAAAATAAGCTTTTGTCATTCCATAATACTAATTAAAAATATACAAAAGTTTGTGATAAAATCTGGTAACAGATGGCGCCACATACAATTTTTGTAATTAAAAATAATATAAAAGTTATTTTTTAAATAAAATCTCATAACAGTCGGAAAAGTTACTCAACTCGTCGGATTTTTAAAAAAATTAAATTATTTAAGTAGAATTACAGTTTCGAATTAAAATTAAATAAGATTAAAGAACAGTTTCCCCTCGACATTAGGCCTGCACCAATGTTATTATTGAACAAAGTACAAGGACTGACTTAAATCCACGATAAGATTACCCGTAACATTTTTCCTGAATTCCTATTAAGTCCGGTATTAAAAATATGATTAAGTAATCGCTATGTTAATGTTTAAAATATGTTCAACGTATAATCTAGATTAAGATAAATACAATAAATATAAAAAATAATAAGCGCGGAAAGATTATCGAAAATGTTAAAAATAATATTGTAAAGACGAACGAAGAAACGATAAATACGTATCTTATTCAAATATTTAACTACAATTAACTGCAATAATAAATTGAATTGCTCTATTAAAGATAATAGACCGTATAGCAACTGTATTAAATATCAAGGCTCACGGCAGTCACTTCCTGCCAAGTAAAAATATCGACTGATTACGTATAGTTACGAAGGAATCAGAGTTGCCGATTTTCGGGGTTCTATTTCTCCGCCCCCAAACACCCGAAGTAATTCAGAAGTCCTCGTTCGAAAGAAAATTGTTTATTCGGGTAGTGTGCAAAATTTCGAGATTTTCTGTAATACGGTTGCCAAAATATAAGCAATTTGAAAAGTGCAAAAATTCAAAAAAAAAAAAAAAAACTATTTTCTTGTTTTTCACCCGGTAGAGAAGAAACTACCAGGTCCAGAAAGCTCAAATTTTAAACTTAGGTCTTCCTCGTTACCAGTGAGGTGCTGGACAAACTTCCGGATCGAAAGGTCAAAGTTCACGGGTGTTTGATAGAGAGCTAATTCAGTTTTACGGCTTAATTTTATGCTTGTAACGATAAAATTGCACGGAAACAAATGAATTTTATTCAGATTGTTACTCAGAATAACAAAAGGTCTTTCAATCTTAAGTCCTGTGCTTTTTGTCGAAAATTTCTGAAATTTTGTAGGGAGATTTGTTTATTAGAGGAATCGATGCTAATGCTATTAAATTTTGGTTGTTAAAGATCGAGGGAATGGTGTGTATGTGTATCAGTAGGGTCGGATTTAATGAAGATTTTACTAGTTATTAGCATTTACAATTTTTTTAATAAAACCCGTTCTTAACCTCAATATTAAGCGTTTTCCCATTTTATAATAGTTAAAAATATAAGAAGTTTTAAAAATAAAATATCGTAACAGATGGCACCACCACCAAACGTTTCCGGGAAAGTTAAGCAACTCATCGCTGGCTTTTTCGAAAAATTAATGCCGGTGCATGTATGGTAAGTGAACAAATTATTGTTTTCACCCAGCAACTGGCAATCTAACAATACTTTTTCGGTGTTATCTGCCGAAAAATAGCCCCGTTGCCCACGAGACAGGGACCGAACCAGCAGAACACACACCAAGGTAAGCATTACTGTATTTCTAAATTATGCAGATATGGCGAACAGCGCCAATCTCGGCAACCGGATTTGGATTTGTCTGTCAGAATTTCGTTAACGGTTGGAAAATGGAATGCAGTATATGCATAAAAAAGAAAGAATACTGCAATTATGTTATAATATGTTTAGAAAATAAACATTTAGAAATTGCAAAGTTGTACTTATTAAAGAAAAAATTCCGAGTATCCCCTAGCAAGCATTACGTCCCCTCCACCTATAATTGGCTGTGAGTGAGAGGAGTTTTAGTCTTGAACCCTGTGTTTTCTCTATCTATCCTAAGTATCCTTTCAAAAATAATACGCAACCGTCATATTGTCTGGATATTATGTCATGTGAGTAATGTTTTTAAGGCTTATTAGTATATTTATGCATATTACAGAACGTTAATTACTATTATCGTATCAAACTTTAAGTCCATGTTTTATTTTATTCGTAATTCCATCTCGTAATCTTACAATATTAATTTTTTATAGAATAATTCAATTTTAAGCGAGATGTCTATTCGTAAATTTATTTTCACTTTTAACTAATAATTTCGAACGAAGCATTTATAAATATGAACGGAAAACACTAGTATTGTACCGGTATATCACAGATCGTACTGTTTAAATTTTGTCTATGACTATATTTTAATATTTTACACCACACTCACCACACTCACCACATTCCATTTTATTTAACGTATAACGAGTTCGACAACGTAGACAGTACGATAAACAAATGACAAGGCTCGTAAATACGACCTGAAACACTCAAATCCAATTGTGTAGCGGCATAATTTACAACTAATGCTTACCGGGGAGCTAAACTATTGTCCCTGGAAGCGCCTGCATTATTTTCTTTGTTTTTGGCCAGTCGGTTTGTCTGCGTTGCATTTATTGCTGCTTGGTACCTGGTGAGTACGGAATCCAATTTTCGTCACCATTTTTTTTTTCTTTTTGCGAGATGTTTAGGCACCAGCCTCGAATAAAGCTTCGGTGTTACAGTTCTTCAGTTTGAAAGAATTCTACACTCGACTCCTGATATGGCGGATCTTTTGTTTTCGTTGAATTTTTTCGTATTATTATCTATTTGTTTTGCGATGTTTCTATTGTATTGTTATTTGTTTTTTTGTATTATTATTTAGATTTTGCAGAAGAACGATTATTATTTGCGAAATCCAAATATAACAACGGTTTCCGTGTTCGTTACGGTAACATTTTCCATCATCTGTTTATTTTTTTTTATCAGATGAAGAAGGAATTTATTGCTTTAATAAGGTTAACTTCTGTATGACGTGAGAAGATTCATTTTTATTTTGTTAATCGCGACACGACACATTATTATCCATAAAATCTGCTATTCGCGTCATAACGAATTGTAGCAGATTTATGGAAGCAAAGAGGATGATGTAACAAAAACAGAGTTATACATGTGACGTTACCAGGATGATAAATTAAAAATAATTTTCTCCTGTAGTTTACTGCGTGTATCTTTGCGAAAATGGCGGTTTTTTTTTTTTACTTGAAAAATTGGCAGGAGGAAAAAAAAAGGCAACTGTATCGTCCGATTTAAAACTTTACAACAAGAATTATAAATTTTATTAAGTTAAATCTGCAGAAAATATAAGATACACAAAAGACATTATACATGGAAGATCGATAAATCGAAAGGGAAGATCGAGTATAAGAGAGAAGGGGATCATTTTCTGTACAATAAACATTTATAAAATATCCATTCAAACATCTAAACGAGGTTTTGGTTTATGCCATAATACTGAACATCACAGATACGTGTTTTGGAAAGTTTCCCAAGCAACGTCACGAGGGCGAGAGCTTTTCGTTGATGCCGTCTCGTAGCGAATTCTCTTTGAAGGAACCTTTCGAAGAGCTCTGACGACGAGATCTGTTAACCAATCGGAAAGCCTCTAGAAACTCGTTAAAATCGATGAAACCGTCTTTGTTCAGATCCATGTTACGGGCCAGGTTATCTATGTTTTCCGAAGATATGGGGTTTCCCATGTACTGACTCAACAGGTGGCAAGCTTCTGTAAATTCCTCCATAGAAATGAGACCTAAAGCATTGGAAATGTGTCAAAAAAATCCCTCTGGCTCTGTGTACCAATTAACTGAACCTCTAACCCTGTAACGCCTTCTACATCAATTAGCTATACATCTTCTAATTGTAAAACTGTAATTATACCAATTAAAAATATAAGAATAAGTTTAACTTACCGGATCCATCTTTATCCATAACCCTAAATATCGTTTCCAGATTTTCCTTATTTCTGTATAAAGTTTCCATGATAGAAGGACCTTCCTGAGATCGAAATTTCATTCGAATTTCTTTATTAAATTAAGTAAAAAGTTAAAATAATTTATTAAAAATGAACTTACGGAAGGAATATTACTAAAACAAAAATCGTCGAAAGTCGTATTATAGTCGACGGTTCCCTGTTCCAAATCACACTGCGCCATTTTGTGACAGAGAAGTCTCCACGGTAAATTGAGTCCCACTTCTTTCTCCATAACCGAACACCAATCGCTAATTGATATTTTACCTTTATTTAAAATAATTTTAAAATTTTATTTTCTACAATTTTACCGGTTAATGTATACTTAAATCATTAGAAAAATAATTTATATTAGAATTTGCCTAAATATGTTGCCCCTTTCGAAATTATTTTATATTTTCGAATAATGAATAATTTCTCAAGATACTTGGCATTGTAAGGGCGTGATTCTATGCTACATCCAGTCAAATCAAAAGAGTAAATAAGTCATTAGAAGAATGATAACATCCCACGCAATTGGAGCGGCAGAAAATAGGATTATTCTGAAGAATTGGATAATGAATCTATGATATTAATACATATTAATTAATTATAATAGTATCTATAAGTGAAATTTCGTACGATTGTAAGTTTATTAATTTACTCGCAAAGGAACTATTGTAGTTTAAATAAAACATTACATTACATTTTTATTCTCGACAGAACGATGAACGTTTATAAACGAAACTTAGTAATCACGAAAATTGATAAATTGTTAAAGGAAAAGCTTCGTATAGAATAGAAAATATCACTTATACAATCATCACAACCCTGTAGAAATTAAATTGTTTACTAAAAGCTCGTGTTTTACTTTCCCTGTTGTTATGTATCGGAAAGTATTGGAACCGTGTCAAATTTGATCCTCTGAGTGGGGGTCTATTTCGCGTAATAACTCAGGATGGGGTAAAGATTAAGAAATGAAATTTGGTACGTTGGCTTGTATACGGGGGGCATTGATGCTATTAAATTTTGGTGGTGAAAGGTCGAGAGGGTGGAGAGATAAAGGGATTATGTGGATCTGGACTAGGGTCGGACTTAATGACAATTTCACTCGTTATTGGAATTTATAATTTTTTTTATAAAACCCATTCCTACCCTCAAAATTAAGCTTTTTGCCGTTTTATAGTAATTTTTAATAGCCACACAATTTTATTTTTTGCTCAATAATGTAAAGTTTTTTTTTAAAATAAACAATCGTAACAGCCGGGAAAGTTACGCAACTCGTTGCTAAAATGTTTTTTAGCTTACCGACGGGATATTTAACAATGAATATTTCCGAATATCGATAAAATCTCGTGAAAAATACACGACGGTGGCCAACGCATTAATACATTCGTTTCCCAATACTTTAATATCCATCGATTATCTTCACTATCAGAATCGAATATTGACGATATCCGTTTAAGAAGCTCGCTTAAGCATCGAATTATTTTTGTTAAACTCGTCAACGATTAACCAATAAAAAACTTAATAAATACGTCGTGTTTTTATATCACGCTTAAGTATAATTATATAGATTTTTGCATTAGTGAAAATGGCGAGAAATGCTATATAAAGGTTTCTAAATCGATTTATCGAATGAAAACGATTTCGGTATCTAAATTATTTACTCTGGCCTTACGTTTACATAACTATTCTTACAGGAAACGGATATTAATATTTTTTATGGCTGATTGGCGTGATATAAGTCCTACTTACGATGAATCGTGTCCTATCCACGTTTACCTATTATTAATATATTTTAAACGGGTTTAATTCGTATCCGATGTTTTCTCTCTGTCTCTTCGCATCGCCTTGTGATTGTATCGATTTTAAAATAGTTTCTACATCACAATATTTAAGTATGAATAATAAATAATTGTTCTATTTTCTAATTCGTATTCTTATATTATTTGTGATTGCTTAGTACACTTATTACTGATTTTTTTTTATTTATCAATATATGACATAATTAAAAATTTAACACAACAATATAATATTTAACGTAAAGTTCAGGGCAATGAATGATTTATGAAGTTCGGTGAGTAGATTAATCCTCTGTCGAATTTGTTTACGATACATTATTGAATCGTATGGGGGGATGAAACTGTGATTCCGTTGTATAATGTGAAAAGAATCCATAATATAGGATGATTTCAAAAGTTTCCATGCATGTCAAAGGGTTCACTTTATTACTCGGTCACTTAAATCGTAGAATACGACGTGTGAGCACCATTTAACTGAATGAAGTTTATTCGCATGGTAAACGCATGTTAACAGTCTGATGTCACTTATCACAATATCTCATTTCGGATGATCCGTTTTGTATAAATACACTCGAATCACCCTGTATAATGGCAGTATCATCGCACTTATCAATGGAAATAAAATAACTGGTATGTTAGAAACATAGTGTTGATGTTCGAGTAAAACTCGCAAAACTAGGAAAAATTTCTGGAGTGATTTGACTGGGATATGTCGAGCCCCTTTACGAATCTACCCAAACATGTGATGATCACGAATAAAGGTTTCATTAGGGCCGAGTGTTGAAAATTTGAACAGTGATGAAATAAAACGTTTCCATTATGCTAATCTTTTGCAATTAGATTTGAGTTTTCTGCGGTTAAGAGCACTACTACGAGTTGTGTACGTCAAATATGCACCCCCATTGACTGATCCTGTCATTTATTCATAAAATTATATTAAAACTACGATACGATAAATTTTGTACAGAATATCCAATTGAATCGAAGTACTGACTTCGGAAAACTTTTGATCTCTCTTTTTCTCGTACTAAAAATAGAATGATATTTCGATACCGCTTCGTCGAGCGAAGGAACACAATGATTTTCCCACAATACGGTTGGTTTTCACGCAAGAAAAGTTCGAATTTTTCGCTCCGCCTACCATATTTCACCTTTGTTCTTATTTCATTTTTAAGAAAAACGTCTTCGACCAAAAATACAATCTCACTTCGGAGGATGGGCGATCGATTCTTAAAATCCGAAAAGTTATCTGGAGGGCTTCCTATTTTGTCCCGTTGTAAATGGAAAACACGAAAATCGACACGTCTTTCTTGTTTTGCACTAAAAAAAATACTTTCCAGTTGCAACGAGCTTAACGAGGAAAACATTTTGTATGTCTCCAGGCGGCTATTTTATTATTGGAACAGAGTTCGAGCTTGCAAAGAAGAAAACAAAAGCTAATTCCCCCACACACATCTCGTCTAACACGCTACGTAAGGTTAACAAGCAGAACATTACCTGAATTGTCGACGTCTAATTTTTGAAAGTGCGGTCCGATGATGGTCTGCGAGGCGCAAATGCGCTTTTTCAATTCTTTCAGAGCGCACTCTTCCAAATAACTCTGTCTAAAATATAACGTGCGATAATAAATAGCGGTTATTAATGGGACGATTTCGAATTTTACACCCACCTTTGAGTTATGGTGGTGGTCTTGGTGTTGCTGATGCTCAGGTACATAACCAAATGCGTTTCCAACGTCTCCCCCATCAGTTTTACGTATGCTCCACGATTGCTTCCTATGTCGTAGTAGTTCGATGCGGAGAAAATAGTCATCACCTAAATATGTTAAACAATATATAGATAAATATTTTTTTTTTATTACGATTACAGTATATGGAATATTGGAAAAGGAATTCCTTATTAAAATTTTCTCGATATTGTTAAGGAAAACCCTTTCTAGTAAAATTCATTAATCGAAAAATTCTGGAAAAGAATAAATAGTCTAATTTAAAATTCAGAAATTTTCGCACCGTTTTACATTTTAATTTAGTTGGTTGATATAAAATTTAATTATTTCTATGAAAGAAGTCGAATGATTTCCAACACAAAAGATTCGATTTTAAAAAATGCAAACAATTAACCGCTTCTGAGGCATTGCGAAACATTTCTATAACACTCGAAATCCACATTTTCCTCTCTCTTCCTTAAAATGAATACCTTCTTTCTTAGGGATGTGGAAATATTCAGATTAATTCTTAATTTTTTTCTTTAATATAAACCTTTCCTTCTATAATAATTCGTCAATTTTGTACACTATTAAGTTACGCGTTAAACTTAATGTTATTTCTAGAATAAATTTCGGGAACAAATTAGTCTTTTATAAGCTAATAAAATGTAAATAGAAATAGTTTAAAATTTATATATATTAACAGATTGGACCAAAAGAGATTTTTCAAGAAATTCGATAATTTATAAAAGTGTAATTTGTGTATTGAACGAGAACATTTCACTTTCACGTTTACAAGTAATAAAGTATTTTAAATAAGGTAGCAATTTATTTTTACAACGGTTAAATGCACCCCTCTCTGGGCCAAACTGTATGCATAATATATACAAGTGTTTAAATTTAATTATAATTGTGTAACGCGTAGTATAATTTAATTGATGTAAAATTTATGTATTTAACTACATGAAAACATAATATAAATTTCAGAACAATTTTCCTGAGTTTTCATAATGTCTTACTTTAAAATAATGGAATGGAACCGGATATGGAATGATTAGGGGCTGAAAATATTTGAATTGAAATAACATGACTTCCGGTTTCAGAAATCATGTTATTTCAATTCAAAAATTTTCTCCTGAAAGGAGTTAGTTAGAACTGTTAGATGACCGGCGTGAATCTAATTGCTAACAGGAAAAGTGATGCACAGGAGCAAGACATTACTAATTTGAGGTGGAAAGCACATATTTTAAATTAAATAAATTTAAAAAATATGATTACAAATTGCAGCCCTGCATTGTGACGATGCCACAATAAATAATTGCTCGTTGTTATTATTTAGCCTATTAATAGAAATGACAGAAATGGAAGAGAACATTTATTAATTTTTTTTATTTGTGTGTAATTAATATGCTTTTAAACATATCAAATATTTATTTTGAATTTTAATTTTTCTTGCTNAGCAGTTTTAGACAAAAAAAAAAGGAGAGGATTGTCAATGATAATAATAGAAAACAGTTATTTCGGATAAACATACGTAAAGCTTACGTCGTTGGTATATTTGAGTATTTGCCTAAGAACATTGTTGTTGAGTAATCAAGTACTGTACGTGCATTTGCCTATTTATATTTGTCTATGTATATATGTATATTATATATATATATTGTATGTATAGGTTTCAGACATATAGCCACAATAAGTTTAAATTTAAAGCGTACATAAATCAGAATGTATAAAATACTTTAGTAGCTAAATGACAATTTTTAAATCATTTTATCTCAAATTAGACGTTTAGAAAGAAAATATATCATATAGGATGGCGTTTTAAATTATTTCTTAATGGGAAATACAATGCATTTGTATTATAGAAGTCAAATCAGCGATTGTATTGTATTTTTCCTTTTTACTTGACATAATAGAAAAATGTGGTATGATTCCTTATCCGAAAGTTAAATCAAAATACATTAAATCAACCTTTTAATTTCAGCAATTATATATTTAGAACAAGCGTTTTCGACCTATTCAAGGATATTTTCAGGTAACATTCCAAAAAAAAAAACACCAATATGAATTTCGAAATGTATCAACGAAAAATAAATATATATAATTGCTGAAGTTAAAAAGTTTGTTTGGTGTATTTTAATAGAAAAATAGATAAATGACAATTTTAAATAAGAAAATATATACGTGTGTGTGTTTGTCGTTTGGTTTTAAGATATTTTAGAATAAACGTGAAGCTCTCTTTGGCTTAAAAGCTCAGATATTCTAGAAAAATATTATATATAAAAACGAGGACATACCTTGTGTTGTTTGAAAGCCTCGACTACATTAGTAACGTCGGTGGCCGAAAGTGGAGATTTTAAATGAGGTCCTGGATACGATTCTTCCAATCTAACCGATTCCGGTTTCGTGGCTTCGTACAATTCTAAATCTTCTTGTTCGGCCAAAATTAATTGTTTCGGTTGTCCTAAAACAGAAAAATAAATCAATTATTTGTTTGTCGAACTTTTTTCTTTCAGTTTTGGAGAGAACTGCCGCGAGTCATATTAGAAATGTCCGACACAGATTTTGTCCTAGGGCCATTTCTAAATGTCAGTTTCTTGCTTAAACAAAAAACAGAGAATGTTTTCTGAGTTTGTTTTTAAAATAAATGATTGATGTCTTACCTCTAAGCGACTGCTGAAGACTCGTAGTTATAATAGGGCTTAATGTGTGCTTGGCTGCAGAAAAGTGGGTTAAGAGATCGTTGAAAAATTGCTGAAGCTAGGAAAAATATATGTATATAAAATCCTGTGTTAAAACCGTCTAAAAATGATGATGGATATTATAAACTAAAAATAAATTAGATCTTTTTTCTACGGACTTGCATTTGAATTGAAATTTTTATTTCAGTTTGAATGCAAGTTTATATTAATGTACTGAAACATTTTAGTTTTATTTTTGCAAGAGAAGATTTTATTTCACTTCTTTGTTAAACTTTAACAAATATAAAAATTCTTTACGTTAAATAATGTCGAGAAGAAAACTGGAGATTGCCTTTATAAATCCAACTAAGAAGTTTAATCTAATGAAGAACACTTAAATTTGCGTTACCACCCATTAAAATTAAATTGTAATTTAAATGATTTCCTTTTTTTTAAACTCAAGTCTTTATATTTTAAATTTAATTAAGAAAAGTTTTTCTAAGAAAACAATTAAATATTTTGTAACAAAATTATCATTCATTTATGTTTAATTATATTTTTGATGTTATTAATGTGGTTAAAATTAATTTTACTTCATTCAATAGAAGCAAAAAGTTTGCAGCATTTTCTAATGCTGCAAACTTTTTGCAAACATATTGATGTAATGCGGAACTTACTTTGAGTTGGTCCTGTTCGTTAGCATATTCCAAAGACTGAAAAATGGTCCAAGAGCATCTTCTTCTTACTTCTAACCGTGCTAAGTATCTCCGATACCATCTCTGTATCAGAAGAGCAGCCTTCATTGCTGAAACAATAATTAAAAGGATATTATCATTTGCTAAATTCCTTTTTATCGAAGCGGTAGCTAAGATGATAAAAATCGAATTTTTCTCTTGTAGAGTCTACTCCTAATTAACGAGTGAGTTATGTTACAGTGTTTATGTATTTATTAATATTCGAGTAAATAAGAGAATAGCAGAATCGTATAAGATGGCGCAGACTTACCTTATGTTAACGGCGAAATCTTCGTGGTTTCCACGATTGAGATAAACAGAATCTGGCCAGACAATCAAACACATGAGAAGAAGTATGAGGATTTCTATAGAGTGTGAACCGCGATCGACAAAGTCTCCATTGAACACGTAAGGGTTGTGTCGAGCCGGAAGTCCGTTCTGGAGGAAAGAAAGAAAAGAGATTGTTTCTAAAGATAACGAATGACTCGACAACGATTCATCGTTTCTAAAGGGAAACCTTATAAAAAATGGTCAAGAGATCCTCCAGGCTGCCGTGCAGATCTCCACAGACTGTAATCTGATGAGAGAGAGCCGTGGATGCCAAATTGATGTTGGGTTTACATCGCAGGACCTTCCTGGCTTCGTGGAGAACGGTCAACACGTATCTGGGATGAAGTAGCTGAAAATAATCACCTTTTTTAATCTCTTCACTATACGCAAATATAGATGTTACTAAGCAAATATGTCTTAGTGACTGCGGAGACATAAATTAGAGTTTTATTTGATATCGCGTGATTAACCATAATTAAATGCAATCTAGTATAAAAAATTAAAATAAAAAATAAAATAGATAACGAATGAAAGTTATTGTGTGCCTAAGTTATAAAATTAAGGAAATTTTTAATATTTTAAGCAGTTTTAGACAAAAAAAAAAGCACACACTAACATCTATACAGGCAGAAAAACACCCGAATTTTTTGTATTTCTCGACGTTTCAAGGTCCCCGAGTCCAAAAATATGGGGAAAGGGTCATTTGACCGATCGCCATACTTTCCCTCTGTTATGTATAACAGCAGGGAAANATCCATCGATTATCTTCACTATCAGAATCGAATATTGACGATATCCGTTTAAGAAGCTCGCTTAAGCATCGAATTATTTTTGTTAAACTCGTCAACGATTAACCAATAAAAAACTTAATAAATACGTCGTGTTTTTATATCACGCTTAAGTATAATTATATAGATTTTTGCATTAGTGAAAATGGCGAGAAATGCTATATAAAGGTTTCTAAATCGATTTATCGAATGAAAACGATTTCGGTATCTAAATTATTTACTCTGGCCTTACGTTTACATAACTATTCTTACAGGAAACGGATATTAATATTTTTTATGGCTGATTGGCGTGATATAAGTCCTACTTACGATGAATCGTGTCCTATCCACGTTTACCTATTATTAATATATTTTAAACGGGTTTAATTCGTATCCGATGTTTTCTCTCTGTCTCTTCGCATCGCCTTGTGATTGTATCGATTTTAAAATAGTTTCTACATCACAATATTTAAGTATGAATAATAAATAATTGTTCTATTTTCTAATTCGTATTCTTATATTATTTGTGATTGCTTAGTACACTTATTACTGATTTTTTTTTATTTATCAATATATGACATAATTAAAAATTTAACACAACAATATAATATTTAACGTAAAGTTCAGGGCAATGAATGATTTATGAAGTTCGGTGAGTAGATTAATCCTCTGTCGAATTTGTTTACGATACATTATTGAATCGTATGGGGGGATGAAACTGTGATTCCGTTGTATAATGTGAAAAGAATCCATAATATAGGATGATTTCAAAAGTTTCCATGCATGTCAAAGGGTTCACTTTATTGCTCGGTCACTTAAATCGTAGAATACGACGTGTGAGCACCATTTAACTGAATGAAGTTTATTCGCATGGTAAACGCATGTTAACAGTCTGATGTCACTTATCACAATATCTCATTTCGGATGATCCGTTTTGTATAAATACACTCGAATCACCCTGTATAATGGCAGTATCATCGCACTTATCAATGGAAATAAAATAACTGGTATGTTAGAAACATAGTGTTGATGTTCGAGTAAAACTCGCAAAACTAGGAAAAATTTCTGGAGTGATTTGACTGGGATATGTCGAGCCCCTTTACGAATCTACCCAAACATGTGATGATCACGAATAAAGGTTTCATTAGGGCCGAGTGTTGAAAATTTGAACAGTGATGAAATAAAACGTTTCCATTATGCTAATCTTTTGCAATTAGATTTGAGTTTTCTGCGGTTAAGAGCACTACTACGAGTTGTGTACGTCAAATATGCACCCCCATTGACTGATCCTGTCATTTATTCATAAAATTATATTAAAACTACGATACGATAAATTTTGTACAGAATATCCAATTGAATCGAAGTACTGACTTCGGAAAACTTTTGATCTCTCTTTTTCTCGTACTAAAAATAGAATGATATTTCGATACCGCTTCGTCGAGCGAAGGAACACGATGATTTTCCCACAATACGGTTGGTTTTCACGCAAGAAAAGTTCGAATTTTTCGCTCCGCCTACCATATTTCACCTTTGTTCTTATTTCATTTTTAAGAAAAACGTCTTCGACCAAAAATACAATCTCACTTCGGAGGATGGGCGATCGATTCTTAAAATCCGAAAAGTTATCTGGAGGGCTTCCTATTTTGTCCCGTTGTAAATGGAAAACACGAAAATCGACACGTCTTTCTTGTTTTGCACTAAAAAAAATACTTTCCAGTTGCAACGAGCTTAACGAGGAAAACATTTTGTATGTCTCCAGGCGGCTATTTTATTATTGGAACAGAGTTCGAGCTTGCAAAGAAGAAAACAAAAGCTAATTCCCCCACACACATCTCGTCTAACACGCTACGTAAGGTTAACAAGCAGAACATTACCTGAATTGTCGACGTCTAATTTTTGAAAGTGCGGTCCGATGATGGTCTGCGAGGCGCAAATGCGCTTTTTCAATTCTTTCAGAGCGCACTCTTCCAAATAACTCTGTCTAAAATATAACGTGCGATAATAAATAGCGGTTATTAATGGGACGATTTCGAATTTTACACCCACCTTTGAGTTATGGTGGTGGTCTTGGTGTTGCTGATGCTCAGGTACATAACCAAATGCGTTTCCAACGTCTCCCCCATCAGTTTTACGTATGCTCCACGATTGCTTCCTATGTCGTAGTAGTTCGATGCGGAGAAAATAGTCATCACCTAAATATGTTAAACAATATATAGATAAATATTTTTTTTTTATTACGATTACAGTATATGGAATATTGGAAAAGGAATTCCTTATTAAAATTTTCTCGATATTGTTAAGGAAAACCCTTTCTAGTAAAATTCATTAATCGAAAAATTCTGGAAAAGAATAAATAGTCTAATTTAAAATTCAGAAATTTTCGCACCGTTTTACATTTTAATTTAGTTGGTTGATATAAAATTTAATTATTTCTATGAAAGAAGTCGAATGATTTCCAACACAAAAGATTCGATTTTAAAAAATGCAAACAATTAACCGCTTCTGAGGCATTGCGAAACATTTCTATAACACTCGAAATCCACATTTTCCTCTCTCTTCCTTAAAATGAATACCTTCTTTCTTAGGGATGTGGAAATATTCAGATTAATTCTTAATTTTTTTCTTTAATATAAACCTTTCCTTCTATAATAATTTGTCAATTTTGTATACTATTAAGTTACGCGTTAAACTTAATGTTATTTCTAGAATAAATTTCGGGAACAAATTAGTCTTTTATAAGCTAATAAAATGTAAATAGAAATAGTTTAAAATTTATATATATTAACAGATTGGACCAAAAGAGATTTTTCAAGAAATTCGATAATTTATAAAAGTGTAATTTGTGTATTGAACGAGAACATTTCACTTTCACGTTTACAAGTAATAAAGTATTTTAAATAAGGTAGCAATTTATTTTTACAACGGTTAAATGCACCCCTCTCTGGGCCAAACTGTATGCATAATATATACAAGTGTTTAAATTTAATTATAATTGTGTAACGCGTAGTATAATTTAATTGATGTAAAATTTATGTATTTAACTACATGAAAACATAATATAAATTTCAGAACAATTTTCCTGAGTTTTCATAATGTCTTACTTTAAAATAATGGAATGGAACCGGATATGGAATGATTAGGGGCTGAAAATATTTGAATTGAAATAACATGACTTCCGGTTTCAGAAATCATGTTATTTCAATTCAAAAATTTTCTCCTGAAAGGAGTTAGTTAGAACTGTTAGATGACCGGCGTGAATCTAATTGCTAACAGGAAAAGTGATGCACAGGAGCAAGACATTACTAATTTGAGGTGGAAAGCACATATTTTAAATTAAATAAATTTAAAAAATATGATTACAAATTGCAGCCCTGCATTGTGACGATGCCACAATAAATAATTGCTCGTTGTTATTATTTAGCCTATTAATAGAAATGACAGAAATGGAAGAGAACATTTATTAATTTTTTTTATTTGTGTGTAATTAATATGCTTTTAAACATATCAAATATTTATTTTGAATTTTAATTTTTCTTGCTATTAATTGATGGAATTATTTCTTTTTTGCAATTTGTAGTAATTTAACGAATCGTTGAAAACTAAAAGAAACTTTCAACTTCGTCAATTAATGTATATAAACACTAAAATCTATCAAATAACTTTTATATCTTTAAGATTTTATTCCAACTTTGTATTATTAATTATTGTAAAATAGTAAAAAGCTTAATTTCGAGGGTAGTGACGAATGTGTATAAAAAAAATTGTAAATGCTAATAACGAGTAAAATCTTAAGCCCGACTTCACTGCAGGTATGACACAACCCCTCTATCTCCCCACCCCTTTGACCCTTAACTATTAAAATTTAATAGTCTACGCAAGCTACCGGTCCAAATTTTGTTTCTTAATCATCACCCCATCCTGAAAGAGAAAATTAATTCTATTTAAACTAAATATTTGAAAAAATTTATTCAGATTACGCGTGGTCTTCGCATCATAAGTATTCACGAAATTGTCAAATATTAAGAAAAAATATAAAATTACATCAGTTGTGAAGATTTGTAAAAGTCAATTATTAAAATAAAAAATTAAACGATAAACATTGATTCGGAATTTCCAATTTAATAAAATGTAAATATTAAACGATATTAAGTAATTATTAGTTTGATCGATCGTATTCGTTACTAAACGAGATTAGCAAAAGCAAAAGATGAAAAGAGTTGTTTACATCCTCCGTCTGCTATTAGCTTTTATAAATTAGCCGAAGGAGGAAGATACATAATGCGAACAGAATAAAAAAAAAACACCGAGAAAATCGAACGAAAAAAAAAATGTTTTTTTTCCATTTTTTAAATATAAATGAATGATTTAAGATCGGCCATTCGACCACACCAGTAAACATTCCCATTGTACGAAAGCTAAATTGAATTTCTTTCGAGAATTTCGTAATTCAAAATGTAAACAAAATTAGTATTGTCAGAGAAATCCTTTAAGGGAAAAAAACCCCACCAACGGGTTGCTTTACTTTCCCGGCAACGTTTATTGTGTATGTGGCGCCATCTGTTATCATATTTTATTAAAAACTTTTTATATTTTTAACTATTATAAAATGGAAAAAGGCTTAATTTTCAGGGTAGAGATGGATTTTATAAAAAAAANTCCGACCATACTGATGATAAACACGACCCCCTTTATCTCATCACCCTCTCGATCTTTAACCACCAAAATTTAATAGCATCGATTTCCCTAACAAACAAACTTGCCTGCAAGATTTCAGATATTTTCGACAAAAGGCACAGGAGTTATTAAGCTTCAAACAGGATGAACAAAATCGTGGCCCCCCCAAACACACACTAACATCTATACAGGCAGAAAAACACCCGAATTTTTTGTATTTCTCGACGTTTCAAGGTCCCCGAGTCCAAAAATATGGGGAAAGGGTCATTTGACCGATCGCCATACTTTCCCTCTGTTATGTATAACAGCAGGGAAAGTAAAAACCGCTCAAAACAGATAAAATTCTAAGTTTTAACCATACTTTATAGGGAAAAAATGTCTTAGTTTCTAAACATGTTTATGGCATTCGACTATAAAATAATATTTATAAACATATCAGCAGACTGGAGAAAATCGATTAGTTGTCATAAAGTAAATATTTGTCAGAGAGGAGGGAGAGATAGAGAGAAAGAGAGAGAATATTTGGCAACATTTCAAACGTTCCGTCCGATAAAAATTAAGATAAACGAGCACTCGAGTTTGGAGTTATTGACTTTTATCTTCGAAATTAAAATAATAAAAATAATAATAAAAAAACGGTCACCTTATTGTTGTGAGCGTATTCGTAACCGTCGATTTTACATTCGTGCGACCTGATGATTCTCTCCAACTTGTGTTTATGCAGAAAAGCGTCCGTCGTATCGGGTCCGAAGAAGCATCCTCCTCCTCTCATGGTGTTGGGACGACACCCAGATTGATGTCGAGGATCACTCCATAATAAATCCACCAACTAGGGGGTAAATTTAACCGTTGGTCGAACGCACGAAAACGTGGAGATGAGTGTAAAAGTGTTTCTCACCTGTTTCCATTCCTTAGCACCCGACGGCGTGTCGTTGAGGGAAGAGGCGCGAAGTATAGTCACGTACTGTAAAGTATGAGTGGGACCACCTCGTCAGAATCGAGCGTATACCATCGACTCGGATAAGGTTTCGTCTGAGGGAGATATAAACATGTTACCTTTTACCTGATGCCTGTCCAGCGACGTTATTACTTTGAGATCAGTGTCGCTACTGATGCCTCCGTGCACCACGAATACTTTGTTGTCGATGACCGTGCACAGGGGTAACCAACTGTAAACGTCCTCCGTCACCTGGGCTATCTTAGCCGCGTGTTTCTGCAAATAATATTTAAATTAACGACAATTTTTGGTTAGTTTTTGAGTGTTCCGCTAAGAGAGGAAGAAACTCCAGCAGGATAATGCTGTGGTAATTTAGTTCTTTTCTGTTTGCTAAATCTCATTTGCAGTTATCGACGCGATAAATTCTATCATTTACTTCCACTTGGGGATAAAAATATTGTTCTTTCAGAAACTAGGTCGACGATGAAGCGGATGTTTCCAGAAACGAGAAAATTCGCATTAGAGCTGTGACGCCCCACTTCTTTATTTTCGTAGAAATCCCTTTTCTCCTTTCCCTCCCTGTGACGAACATTAAGTTTGTGCAAAACGTGTTTTCGTATAATTATAACTTTTACGACCGTTTTCGCCTGATAATTAATGAGAAATCTTTCTCTAAATACCAAACTCGTGACAATTCCTAACAAAGGATATTAACTGAGTTAATTATTATTAGTCAATAGAGTTTCGTTGGTGATAAATTTTAGTTTAAGAAGTAGTAGTTAAATTATTTCTACGCTGCTATCGTTTGTTTTTAAAGTCGAATGAACAGGATAAAATTGTAAGTTAAACTCGTAAAAAAATAAATTATTTAAAAAGAAAAACTCACCATATATTTGTACATGATCTCTTTCACGAAACCGTACCTGAAATTAATAAAGTTAACTATTTTAAAAACAGTTTTTTATATATATTTTTAAACAGTTAAAATGCAAAAAAATCTTTTTTAAAATAATTTTCAGACGTATTGATTCGAAGCAGACTTTTCTCTCTAAAACAAACATCTTAATATTAAATATTTTCAATGTTTTTAATTTAGATTTTTAATTAAAAATATATTTTTTTTAATCGAAATAAAAAGAAATTCTTTTGTAAAACCTCCTACAACGCATTCCTTTTTATCGAAGCAGTAGCTAAGATAATAAAAATCGAATTTTTCTCTTGTAGAGTCTACTCCTAATTAACAAGTGAGTTATGTTACAGTGTTTATGTATTTATAAGATGGCGCAGACTTACCTTATGTTAACGGCGAAATCTTCGTGGTTTCCACGATTGAGATAAACAGAATCTGGCCAGACAATCAAACACATGAGAAGAAGTATGAGGATTTCTATAGAGTGTGAACCGCGATCGACAAAGTCTCCATTGAACACGTAAGGGTTGTGTCGAGCCGGAAGTCCGTTCTGGAGGAAAGAAAGAAAAGAGATTGTTTCTAAAGATAACGAATGACTCGACAACGATTCATCGTTTCTAAAGGGAAACCTTATAAAAAATGGTCAAGAGATCCTCCAGGCTGCCGTGCAGATCTCCACAGACTGTAATCTGATGAGAGAGAGCCGTGGATGCCAAATTGATGTTGGGTTTACATCGCAGGACCTTCCTGGCTTCGTGGAGAACGGTCAACACGTATCTGGGATGAAGTAGCTGAAAATAATCACCTTTTTTAATCTCTTCACTATACGCAAATATAGATGTTACTAAGCAAATATGTCTTAGTGACTGCGGAGACATAAATTAGAGTTTTATTTGATATCGCGTGATTAACCATAATTAAATGCAATCTAGTATAAAAAATTAAAATAAAAAATAAAATAGATAACGAATGAAAGTTATTGTGTGCCTAAGTTATAAAATTAAGGAAATTTTTAATATTTTAAGCAGTTTTAGACAAAAAAAAAAGGAGAGGATTGTCAATGATAATAATAGAAAACAGTTATTTCGGATAAACATACGTAAAGCTTACGTCGTTGGTATATTTGAGTATTTGCCTAAGAACATTGTTGTTGAGTAATCAAGTACTGTACGTGCATTTGCCTATTTATATTTTTGTATGTATAGGTTTCAGACATATAGCCACAATAAGTTTAAATTTAAAGCGTACATAAATCAGAATGTATAAAATACTTTAGTAGCTAAATGACAATTTTTAAATCATTTTATCTCAAATTAGACGTTTAGAAAGAAAATATATCATATAGGATGGCGTTTTAAATTATTTCTTAATGGGAAATACAATGCATTTGTATTATAGAAGTCAAATCAGCGATTGTATTGTATTTTTCCTTTTTACTTGACATAATAGAAAAATGTGGTATGATTCCTTATCCGAAAGTTAAATCAAAATACATTAAATCAACCTTTTAATTTCAGCAATTATATATTTAGAACAAGCGTTTTCGACCTATTCAAGGATATTTTCAGGTAACATTCCAAAAAAAAAAAAAACACCAATATGAATTTCGAAATGTATCAACGAAAAATAAATATATATAATTGCTGAAGTTAAAAAGTTTGTTTGGTGTATTTTAATAGAAAAATAGATAAATGACAATTTTAAATAAGAAAATATATACGTGTGTGTGTTTGTCGTTTGGTTTTAAGATATTTTAGAATAAACGTGAAGCTCTCTTTGGCTTAAAAGCTCAGATATTCTAGAAAAATATTATATATAAAAACGAGGACATACCTTGTGTTGTTTGAAAGCCTCGACTACATTAGTAACGTCGGTGGCCGAAAGTGGAGATTTTAAATGAGGTCCTGGATACGATTCTTCCAATCTAACCGATTCCGGTTTCGTGGCTTCGTACAATTCTAAATCTTCTTGTTCGGCCAAAATTAATTGTTTCGGTTGTCCTAAAACAGAAAAATAAATCAATTATTTGTTTGTCGAACTTTTTTCTTTCAGTTTTGGAGAGAACTGCCGCGAGTCATATTAGAAATGTCCGACACAGATTTTGTCCTAGGGCCATTTCTAAATGTCAGTTTCTTGCTTAAACAAAAAACAGAGAATGTTTTCTGAGTTTGTTTTTAAAATAAATGATTGATGTCTTACCTCTAAGCGACTGCTGAAGACTCGTAGTTATAATAGGGCTTAATGTGTGCTTGGCTGCAGAAAAGTGGGTTAAGAGATCGTTGAAAAATTGCTGAAGCTAGGAAAAATATATGTATATAAAATCCTGTGTTAAAACCGTCTAAAAATGATGATGGATATTATAAACTAAAAATAAATTAGATCTTTTTTCTACGGACTTGCATTTGAATTGAAATTTTTATTTCAGTTTGAATGCAAGTTTATATTAATGTACTGAAACATTTTAGTTTTATTTTTGCAAGAGAAGATTTTATTTCACTTCTTTGTTAAACTTTAACAAATATAAAAATTCTTTACGTTAAATAATGTCGAGAAGAAAACTGGAGATTGCCTTTATAAATCCAACTAAGAAGTTTAATCTAATGAAGAACACTTAAATTTGCGTTACCACCCATTAAAATTAAATTGTAATTTAAATGATTTCCTTTTTTTTTAAACTCAAGTCTTTATATTTTAAATTTAATTAAGAAAAGTTTTTCTAAGAAAACAATTAAATATTTTGTAACAAAATTATCATTCATTTATGTTTAATTATATTTTTGATGTTATTAATGTGGTTAAAATTAATTTTACTTCATTCAATAGAAGCAAAAAGTTTGCAGCATTTTCTAATGCTGCAAACTTTTTGCAAACATATTGATGTAATGCGGAACTTACTTTGAGTTGGTCCTGTTCGTTAGCATATTCCAAAGACTGAAAAATGGTCCAAGAGCATCTTCTTCTTACTTCTAACCGTGCTAAGTATCTCCGATACCATCTCTGTATCAGAAGAGCAGCCTTCATTGCTGAAACAATAATTAAAAGGATATTATCATTTGCTAATTGTTTAATTCGAGACAAACAGATTTTATTTAATTAATAATATGTTATAAATTGATATTATTTTCTTCCTCAACTCCATTAAAATTGAGAAGAAAGTACTTCCTTTCTTTTCTGTCTGACAATACAACAAAACAGTTCCTTTAATTCTGTTTCTAGTTCTCGATAAACATCTTTTAACCAAGTAACTAGTTAAACAAAAGAAACTGTCTGAGATGCACTTCAATTCTTTCTCTACTAATTACAGACAGTGTGACATCAGAGTCATCCGAAATGTCAGCCAAACAAGAGCGATCATCATCTTACCTTTATGTTCTTTTAAGTACACTCAATTCTATCGTTAGATAGATTAATTTGTTAAATTCGATTAAGGATATGAATTGTTTCGATTTAATATTCAAATTTATTCATGTAATTATGATTAGACAAGCTCTGGTAGTTCTAGAGATAAGCTATTTAGCAGACATAGAGAATTAGACACGCAATATATTAACGTAAGTTCTTATTTATGCGGTAGGTATAAGGCTGATAGATATATAATAATTTGCAATACAGTGATTATATATAATATAATTTATTATTAAGGCATATAGGTCTAATGCTTGTAAGCGTGCATAGTTATTTTGCAATATCATAACACTACATTATACCAAAAAAATAAAACTGATTGTAGTACAATGAACTATAATAAATAATGAGAACAGAAAGAATAATAAATTAATTATATAGAATAAGTTTATCTATATAATGCAAAATTAATCGTAAATATACGATAATATAGTGATTTGAAGGAGGTATATGAATGAGGTGACATAAGCCTAAAATAACTAATTTCTTTAATACACAACTTTATATATTTATATTAAAATTCTACAAAACTTCCAGAAAATTGTCTTAAAATGTAACTGGAAACTATTTTGAAACGCCTCAAAAACAATCAAATAAATACTTTAACACAAGCTATATAGAAAAATAAACTGTCCCAGATACCAGATACTTTGTAATTATCTCGTATCCAGGAAGACTGCTCCACGATTATCTTACAGAATCCGCTCAGATACCGATCCAAGTTGGACAGAGGTAGAGGGCATTTAAATGACGTCGACAGCAAAGTTTCAGTTTACGAAATACGCCTTTAAAGAGACTTATTCGGCAGGAGGATGATATGCCACCTGCTCTGCGGATCCCAGGGATTTTTCGGATAGTTTGGTCCCGTTCCTCATCACCTATTGTGAGCCTGCCGAATCCACGATGGATGAATATGATGCAAAAGGTCCCATTAATTTATTAATTTAGTTTCATTAATTACTCTACTTATTTCTTGATCAGAGTTTATCATCTCATCTTTGTATTCGATGCGAGTTTGTACTGTAATAAAATGAAACGAGATGAAAGAAATTAAATAAAGAAATTCAAAGAGAGAAAAAAAAACACGAATATAACTAGATTTATAAAATATAAAATGCAATTTATTTTCTTGGATACAAACTCACAATTAATTAATTTCTCGACTAACGCTGCATGGAACGAATTGAATTGCAAATGTCAATCGAGATGTGTGTGTTTTTACTAGTGCTGGCGAAAAACCACGTGGATAAAATATATAATTATACTGTTAACACTGGAAAAACAATTATTATTTATACTGTGACATTAGTGCTGGCAACAAAACCGGTTTTAGCAAAAATTGGATTCGAACAGGTCAGGAAATCTGCGGTATCATTGTGTTTTTTAGACTTACTTTTCACACACCCTATGCACAGATAATTTCAGTATAACGTTACAGTTCGTACACTGCAACAATTTACCATCCTTGGCTTTTTTTAAAAATAACGCCAAGCATCACCCGTGTTTTACATTTTAAAATTAAAATTAACGTGAAAATTAGCATCAATTGATTTTAAAACGATAGTTTTCAAATGCTATTTATTAAATACTTATGACTCTAAAGGTTAATAACATCGATGAAACACGGATTTCTTTTTTAATGTGAATACAGTACGTCATACTGATATTTTCGTTTAATATTTACTGTAGTGTTTTATCATTATTAATATCAAAATACTGTACTATTATTAATATTAATAAAATGCAATAACAAATCGGTTTTTGAAATTAATTTGACACGCGATATTTAAAAACCGATAAAAACGGTTTTTATCGATTAACCGGGTTTTCAAAAGACCCGGTTAATCGATTTCCGGTTTTTGCCAGCATTAATTGTAAAACTTTTAATTAAATCACTTCAGTTTTGCGACTTTCTTAAGCATTTGTTAATATAATTCCTGCCGTCTAGTTAGTGAAGGTTCCTAAAGTATAAACAATAGATATAATATCACTTTTTCCATTATAAATATTAAGAAAAGTGGTGACTTTATAAAAGTTTCAAAATAAGATGAAATTTAACATTTGCATTGATATGTTACGCTGAAAAACACGCTGTAATTTCAAAGAACTTAACGATATCGCGACAATATAAAAGTTATTGCATTCAATATTAAACAAGTATTACAACGTATAAAATACGCAGAAGGGTAGAAAGAAAATCGCAAGAAATAAGAGTAGAATTTCAGAAATTAAACATTCGAGTAACAGTGCCATCGGATAGAACATTTAAGATTCTATCTCGTTACGTTACTATGTTTCGGTGTGCGAATTGGTTTTTCTTCTTATTTCGGACCTAATACTTAATTCATGAAATCGAGTCGAATTTCTTATTTCTCGTTTTCTTCAATACATTTATGAGTCTGACAATATGTACTTTATTTCGCTTACGATTTAAACTAGAAATCGGTCATATATTATGAACAAAAACTTTATATTAGTATCAACTTTTTAAAGTGTGCGAGTGTGAAGTATATAAAAACAAACCTTTATAATTATGGAATTTTATTCCTTAACTGTGAAAGTAAATAAATAGAAATGTATTTGGTCTCATTTCTCCCCAGTTTTCGTATATGCAGTATATTTATCGGTATTTCGATAAAACTTCGTGGGGAAAAATTCCAGCAAGGAGTTGCATAACTTTCCCGGCAAAACAAGTTAAAGTTGTGTGTGGTGCTATCTGTTAAGAGATTTTATTTTACAAACTATTTATTATTATTATTATTTACTATTTTCAAATAGTAGCAAAAAAAATGCTTAATTTTGAGAGTAGAGATGAGCTTTATAAAAATAAATAAATAAAACGAAAATTGTAAATGCAAATAACAAGTAAAATCTTCCCGATTGCACTGGAGATACGACACGTGACACCTCTCTATTTCTCCACCCCCTCGACTTTTAACCACCGAAATATAATGGCATCAACCCCTAATACACAAACCTCCTTGCAAAATTTCAGAAATTTTAGACAGAAGGCATATGAGTTATGAAGCTTCAAAGGAGTGAAGAAAATCGTTCCATACCACACACGCTAACACCCATACAGAATATATATTGCTTTTCTCGACGTTTCAAGGACCCAAGTCCAAAAAATGTAAAAAGAATTGGGGGTCATGTTTTGGCCCATCGTCATATTTACCATCTATTATATATATAACAGCCGGAAAGGTAAAAATGAAGAAATAAAAAGGTGAAAAAGATTGGAATAAATGCATTTTAAAGAAAGATAAACATTATCTGTTTATGTTTAAGCGTTTATCTTCAAATTTAATATTCAAAATATAAGTGTCGAAGTGTACACAAGAATGTCAGCTCGTGTAATATTTGAAACTTTAATATGTGAGTTCATATATAATTTAATACTTTATCACTCCTTTAAGTGATTGGATCGTTGGGTTTTCTAATATTCTCTTTAATAAAACTAAAAATAATAATATCAGTGAGGTATTTTTTTAAGTAATTCGATTGAAAAATGAGTAAATGTATACATGAAAATGAAAGAAGAGCAGATCCCAAAATGCATCCTCTTCCTTCAATACAAATACCCATAAAATATTTATAGTTTAAGAAATAAGCTTTTTTAACAACTTTTCACACGAAGTCATTCGATTAAATTATTCTATTTTTTATACCAAACAGTCTGAAATATCCCTTAGATCTTATATATATATATAGCCTACAGTATATATTTTAAATCGTGCCCAAAAAAATCGTTTTCTAAAGGATATATATATTACAATAAAGAATAATAAAAATTATACATGTCTTTTAAAAAACAGGATAGAATGGAATTTTTTACATTAAAAAATTATACTGAGTAAACAAATAACTATTTATAATATTTTATTATTTTATTAGAAAAATTAAATATTTGTTAGGCGAGTAAATTAAGAAAATAGTATATATAAATAGGAATTTTATAAAATCAACAATAATTGTAAACACTTTAATATTAATTAAAGAAAATCGTTTACGTAAATATTTAAACTACACAATATAAACTAATAAAAACGTAACTCATTACATAATTTTCGTGTATTTCGAGCGATCTCATTTGTATGAAACAATTCGTGCGTGTAACTTTGAGGGCATTAACATGAGGACAAGTTAAAATTAACTCGTTTCACTCTTAAACATTCTAAAATGGATAAAATCGGTAAAAAAATGGCAGCATGTTTTTCACATATTTGATTTTATTTACTTACAAGTAAAACTTGTCTAAAAGGGAACCTTATAAATACACTATAAACAGAAAAATTACAGGCTGTAAAGCGAGAAGATCACTTTATAATAGTTTAATCTCGATCCATTTCTGAATAATGGACTTATTTTTGAGTCAGGAAAGATACGGATTTAATGAATTACTCAAGAATAAAGGTTACTATTTACCGTTTGTTCGTATTTCTTTGTGTACAATTAATAAAATAAATAAGCAAATATATAATGCGAAAGTTATAAAGTTTCGTAACGCGGGCTTAAACAAACGTTTACTTATGTGTCGTGTAGTAAAGAATATAGATTATATCTCTTCTCACCTGGTTATACTTCATTAGTTATCCTCGAACGATCTTTTATCTCTTGG